CAGGGCACAGAGGAGGAGCACCTGCTGGCGTACACATGAAGGGATGCTGCCCTCCCAGAGTGCTACCTCAGTGAGATATTCAGCTCAGCTCCTGTCCTCTGCTGTGGGGGGAGTTGCAGTTGCTCGTTAACCTACAAATCATAAACACCAGTAAAAATAAGGACCACTTGTTTCACCTGCCAGTGTGTTAACCAGTAACAATAACACTGCAGTTAACTTATGAAGTTGGTAAAAGAAAGGTTGTGACCTTCTGTGGACTCAATTGCTTCCACTTGGTTTTAATGAGTCTAAGTTAAAATTAGTCACAAGTATTTATCCTCTCTACAAGGAAGAGACATCAGTGAAGTCTCATACATCTGGCACCCTCCTTGGAGATACATCTCCCCCTTATGAACATGCTCATTGTGTAGGGTTTTAGTGGGAACAATCTTAACTCTGCAGTTGCTTAAAGATGAACCAGAGTAAAAATATCACATTTATTGACTTTCCTTCTATTCCAGTGAAAACATCAGGTCAATGTTAAGTGAGATGGAAAAAGCAGATAGGGCTAAATGTTCTTACACAGGTCCATTTAGGTAGATACGAGTTCAGGATGTATATATAACCTCCAGTCCACATTGAATAATAGCTTTGTTAGGCTAAAGATCAGAAATAGTCCACAAACAGCACAAATCAGCAAAACAACCTCCAGCTGGTTTCCACTGACTGGCACCCAATCATAAAACTGTTCTCTACAACTTGGGGAAATTGCTCAGTTAAGTGGGTTCCCTCCACATGTAGAGCTGACCGCCTCTGCTCCAACATTAACAAGCCACCAAGACACAGCTGCTGAAGACAAGCAGCCTTCTCTCCTCACTTACCTGACAATCTGGATCTCTGTTTCCAACTCCCTGTGCTGTACTGATACCAGAGGTTCTTGCCTTCAGTCTCATTTCAGCCCACCTGCAGGGCCACATGTAGGACTCCAGAAAGAAGGAAACACCAGCCTCACAGGTCAGCAGTAACTTGAATTCACAAAGTCCTGCTTCCTCAGGAAATCCAAGGTTCTTTTCCTCACAACATCACAGAATGGCTTAAATCGGAAAGGGACCTCTGGACACGATCTGCTCAAGCACAACCACCTAGAGCAGGTTGACCAGGACCACACTCATGTGGCTTTTGAATACCTTCAAGGAGAGAAACACCACAAGTCCTCTGGGCAACCTTTCCCAGTGCTCAGTCATGCCCACAGTAAGAAAGAATTTTTTTATTATTTTTTTTTAAAGTGTTCCCTGATGCTCACTTTGAAACTCCCATTTCACATTGTGCCCATTGCCTCCTGACCTGTCACTGGGCACCACTGAGAAGAGCCCAGCTCCAGCTCCTTGACATCCTCCCTTGTGGGATTTACAGACATGGATCAGATCCCCCCAGACCTTCTCCTCTAAGCTGAACAGTCCCCGCTCTCTCAGCCTTTCCTCATAGGTACTCCAGGCCCTTAACCTTCTCTGAGGCCCCTCGCTAGACTCCCCCCCCTGCAGCCCCAAGTCTCCCTTGTACTGTGGAGCACCCACCAATACCCAGCACTCCAGGTGTGGCCTCACCAGTGCAGAACAGAGGGGAAGAACTGCCTCCTTCAACCTGCTGGCAATGCTTTACCTAGTGCAGGCCAGGACACCAGCAGTCTTTTTCACTGCCAGGGCACATTGCTGGCTCATATTGAGTGTGGTATCTTACCCAGGCTGACTACTGATCATTTTCTTGTCCTTCACATGCCTGGAAAGGGCCTCCCAGATCAGCTTCTCCATCCATTTTGGACATCGTAACTCTCCATCTCAGTTAGTAGCTTCAGTACTCTGGGCACTGCTATCACACAAGCATTCCTGCAGCAACACTGAAATGCAGAACCCTATAGTCAGGCAAAGATCTTTAGTGAAACAGGCAACAGCCATTCTTTTGTAACATATACTTCCACTGCCAAATCCATCGATCCGCCGAGGATTATATGAAAAACATCACATAAAGGTCATTTGCAAAATCTGGCTGCTTTATCAGGTGAGAAGTAATTAAACTAAACAGCCAGCGGGGTTTATGAGGATATGACACATGACACCTTCCAGCTTCCTGATGTGTGCCACGCTACCCAGCAGCGTATATATAGACGCCGGCCGTCCAGGCAGCGCTATCACCGCAGCCAGCCGACTTCTCCTGACCCACTGACCAGCCGCTCAACATGCAACCCAAAGGTAGTACCGGGGAGAGCTCTTACCGCACTGCTTGCAGGACAGAAATCTGCTTGGGTATGGCTGCAAACTGCAGGGGAGGGAAGGGAACAGAAGGGAAAGTCCACAATGAGGGTGGGAGATGCTCAAAGCCCAGCTGGAGCAGCCCTGCACCAGCTGCTGCAGCCGACCCAGCCTGCATGTGCGCTCCTCGCGCCTTCCCTTCTGCTGGAACTGGGGTGCTGCAACTCTGTGCCATCTGCTCCACAGGCGTCTCGCTCAAAATGAAGCTCCTCCTGCTGTCCTGCGTCATGAGCATGGTCCTTGCTGTCGCCAATGCTGTAAGTACTGAACAAAGAAACAAGCGGGCAGCCGATGCGGGCAACCTTCACATTGTCACTTGGAAATCGCAAGGTTTTGTAACCGATGGGAGAGCCTCAGAAATACCAATGGCTGGTGCAAGGCTGAACACATGTACTGTACTCCCATTCCAGACTCCTGGCTTAAGATCGAGTCCTGCTCAAACTTTAAAGCAAAAGAGAAATTGCAAGGTCACTCCCAGCCCATCAGTGGGCCCCCCCAATTCCTTCTTCGCATAGCTGACTATTTTCCAGACACTGAAGAACAAGTTTCCTCTGCAGATCTTGGCTTTCTAACAGGATACACTTAAAAATAAACAACTGAATGCTTTGTTTAAAACAAACAAACAATCAAAAAAAAAAAAAAAAAAACAAATAGAAGTGTTTTTGTTCTTTCTAGTGTGTTTTGCTCTAACAAAAAATTGTTTCTTCTTCTACAGCAAGACGACAGCGATAGCTCTGGTGGGGAGAGCACTGAGGCGGTAAGGCTTCTGTTTCTAAATTACTGGGTCTCACCAGTTGTAACATTCAGATTTAACTAGGCCCTGACCTGGAAAACACTGATGAACAATGCCTTTCTTTTCACAGCCAACAACACGACCCCCAACAAGACGACCCATTTTCTGGCCTTTTCGTCCCATTATTCGCCCCTTCCTGGAAAGGCTCAAGGCTGCTCGATCTTCCTGATTGCAAGCCTGAGGTAAGCAACGTATCTTGTACAAAAATAAGTCTTCAGCAAGCACGGCCATGACATTTGCCTACTTTTTCCATTCTGCACTGTAATCATTCTGCAGAGTACTTTGCAGAACTTAAGTGATTTTCATTTCCTTCAGCATTGCACATTATCTTAATCACTTCACAGAGAAGAAAGAAACATGCTACTTGGACTTGCCACACCATAGCCAGTCGTACACCCAGCTGTCAGGAGCTGCCCAGCTACCTCCCATGAACACAGAAACAGCCTCCTCTCGGGGCTATGGCTTCAAAAGACAATTACACTGCTAAGGGTTCATATAAAGCATTCATTGAGACGTTAAAACAATTAACTGCTCTTGGTTCTAACCTGCGATTCTCCTACTGCTCTGCAGGTGCCTACCTGGATAACCATGGCTGTCTCCTGCAGGACGCTGCTGCTTCTAGATGATCTTCTACTTCCCACCTCTCCTTCACACCTTCTGTCAGCAATGCGCTGAAAACGGAGGACCACCACCAACAGGGTCCCTGTTTTACACGCCCACTACTGAAGCTGGTGTGTGTCTCTCAACCCTTCTCTGCTTCATTTCTAAATCTGAATAAATGCTGAGCATCAAATGACTAAGGTCTCTTTGTCTCTTAATTATTTCTTGGGGAAAAGAAACACACAAATGTCACTTCAGCGACCCTGCTTGCAATGAGCATGAGTAGGAAAGGAAGGGAACTCCTGAGGCTGGCTTTGCCTTTTGTCCATGCTGAGATTCACAGGCTCTCTCAGGTCTTTATCTGGCCCTACCAAATACTACCCAGCCTCCTCTCTGTGCTTTTAAGAGACTATTTATCACAAACATGGCCACTGAAGCCAACACCAGATCTTAACTACAATTTAAGACAGTGTTTTTGTAAACAAGATCCACGTAAGCTTAAACAGCAACAGAAAGCATTTATGTAGTGTTAGTAATACTGTACAAGATATAAAGTATGGCGAAAGATGTGTACAGGGATTTGAAGGGAACCTCAAGGCTATTAGCATGTTTTAGACAGAGACATTCCAAGACATTAGGATGTAACTGTTAATCCTACACAGGTATGTAACCAGGGCATCACAGCTTATTTCCATGACAGATGTATTTTTTCAGTTCCTAACTAGCTGCAAGTCATCCCGAGGCTCTCTCAAAAGACACACAGCTCACCACAAAGCGCCCTGGGCTGAGCGAGCTCTGGAGTCACTTCCCCAAGCTTCCCATTTCCTCAGGCCATTTCTGCAAGGAGCTCAAGGCCCCTTCCCCAAATTGCTGCCTAAGAGTGGCGCTGATCTTCTACCCCGGGTCCACCATCCCCCTAAAGGGGGAAGGAAAAAAAGAAAGAGACAGAAGCGCGCATCCCTAAGGGCTCCCCAGCTGCCCCCCTTTTCAGCAGCGCTGAGGACACCGCACCCCCTCGCACCGGCTGTGGTTATGGGAGGAGTCCTACATTTACTTGACAAAAGGCAGCAAACCCCCCGGCTAGGGGGAGTTTAAACTCGCAAAATTAGCATGGGCTAAAGGACACGTGCCCTAAACACAAGGCACGGGCAGAATGAAGCAGCCACCGCCCTACAGCCAGCAGGCGGCCCCACACAGCCACGGGGCACCTCAACGCCTCCCTGAGGCGCCCAACGGCCGCCCGCCATTTCCCCTCCTCCCCGCCCACTGCTCCGCGCTGCGCTCCCCGGTTGGCTGCCCCCTGCCCTGCCCCTGCTGCTGTCAGGGTCCCGCGCTGCGGGCACTGCGGGCACTGAGAGCGGCGGGATGGGGGCGGTGGGAGCGGTGCGGGAGCTGGCGCTGTTCCTGGGCACGCTGCTCTATGCCTACGCCGAGGCGGCGGTGCGGCTGCTGCTGCCCGCCCGCAGGAAGGCCGTCGGCGGGGAGCTGGTGCTGCTGACGGGGGCCGGCCGCGGGCTGGGCAGGGCCACGGCCCGGGAGTTCGCCCGGCGCCAGAGCCGCCTGGTGCTGTGGGACGTGGACACGGTAACGGGCTGCCGAGCCCCCGCTCCCCGTCCTGCCGAGCACCTGCGGGGTGCGTGGCACATAACCTCTGCTCCTCTCCTCCCTGCCCCAGCACGGCCTCAGGGAGACGGCTGCGGAGTGCGAGAAGCTGGGAGCCACCGTGCACACCTTCGTGGTGGACTGCAGCAAGAGGGAGGAAATCTACAGCGCGGCGGAGAAGGTAGGGGAGCAGGTGCATGAGCACAAAGCCAGTGGTATTCCACTCACGGTGTGCAGGTCTTGAAATCGCTGCCCTTCTGTTGCTGCACGTACAGAGATCACAGTGGCCCTTTGGGTATCCCAGCCCAGCTCGTCCTCCCTCGCGAGCCTCTGTCCCTGCGAGCTCTCACTGTAGGCTTTAGACCCATGAAGGAACATCTTCCTTTAATCTTGCCAAAAACCACACAGACACCTCTGTGGAAATTTGAAAGACTTTATTGTAGAGAGTAAGGAGTAAGGTTCAGGTGGTCCAAAATATTCAGTATGTCCACAGAGCCAGCTGTGACTGTGCAGGGCATATTCATCTGTGTGATGTATAGAAGAGTACAAATACTGCCAGTAATCAAGGGAAAAATGTCACATCTAAATTGGCTTCAAGGATACTGCACAATTCCTACCTCAAATAAAAGAATTGTAAGAAATTGCCACTCACAACCTTGCACTGTTGTGATAACAAATGACACGCGGCTGCACGTTCTTTTTGCCAAAAAGGTGAAGAAGGACATTGGCGATGTCTCCATCCTGGTGAACAATGCTGGTGTGATCACGGCTGCCGACCTGCTCTCGACCCAGGACCACCAGATTGAGAAAATGTTTGAGGTCAACATTCTCGCCCACATCTGGGTAAGGGCCACTGGCGTGTTCGTCCCTCCGTGGTGGTGTGAGTGTTATTGAGGAGGTGGGGGCACCCTCAGCCAGGCACTGAGACCCTGCAGGCAGGAAAAATGCACAGCTCAAAAATGCAAAATGTTTTTTTGTCAGCAAGCCCTGAGAGCAGGCAGCGGCTGATACTTGGCCCCAGGGGCCAGACAGGGTAGGGCCAGCCCTGGCTTTTGGCCCAGCTCGGACAAAGCTCAGGTACAGGGGCAGCGTTCAGCAGGGAAAACAGAGCGATTAGTAAACAACTTGTGCTTGCAGGGGACTGAAGGGCGTGCTGCAGATTGGGTGTGCTGAGGAGAGACACTGGCAGCCTGGCTGCTGATGAGTGAAACCTAAAAACTGAAAGGAGACTGGGTGTTTCTGTGGTTCTCAGGAGCTTGGTGCCATACACCCCCCAGCGCCAGGGATAGGCTTAGTCACTTAATTGCACATAACTGGATCTCTTAATTGCATATAATTGAGGCCAATGTCGAAGACTTCTATGAAGTTACTGTTCGCTTCCTCCTTCCCACGCCCCACCTCTTCCTCTTGTTCTAAAACCCTTTCCAGACAACCAGAGCTTTTCTGCCAACAATGATGGACAACAACCGGGGTCACATTGTTACGGTGGCTTCTGCAGCAGGTCATTTTGTAACCTCTTTCATGGTGGCTTACTGGTAAGTGACTTCCAAATCAGCTCTCTTTGTTTCTCGTTTCTAATTGTCTCCTGCACTAGCAAGGAGAGTAAGATAGTTTGCCACTGGATAAGTTACTTGCAAAGCAGGATGGCTAAGGAGGGGAAAACAAAAACACCCATCAAATAAGAACTCATGGGTGTACCCAGTGATTTGCTTATTAGTGTTGACTGAATCAGGAAGAACATTTCAGGGAAGGAATGGTGATGTGATAAATCAACTAATATTGTCTTCCATTTCTTTTTCTCTCCATACCTTATCCAGAGTTTGGTTGGTAAGAAAGGTATCCTCTTTTCTTCTTACAATATCATAGTGCGCTTGTGAGCTGTTGTAGTCCTCAAATAAACAATAGGTAGTTTTACTGTTTTTTACTATTCTTCATTTTAAAAACTTAGGCAGTATTTTTTTCCCCTGCAGTGAGAAATGCTGGACAGCACAGGCTTGCCTCAAGTGAACTTTAAAGAAGGAAACACTAGATTTATGCATGTGAATTACTATTTCCTAAGAATTCTTAACATTCATCTGACTATTCACTGCTAGGGTAGCCTAGATTTTTCCCCTATAAATTCCACAGTGTCTTCCCCATATACATTTACAATATACATTTCAGCACTATGCTGCACTGAAAAGCAGCACAGGGAAAAGTAGATTTATTCTCTGGCCTCTCAGGTGGATCGCCTTTTTTCCCCCCTCAAGTTAGTACTGCATGTTGTTTCAGCAGATTTCCATTTTTTTTTTGAGGTTGGAAATAGCATTCATACCTTCTTATTTGTGCTTTTTTCCTCACCAGTTCAAGCAAGTTTGCTGCTGTTGGATTTCATAAAGCTCTAACCGAGGAGCTGTCTACCCTGGGAAAGGATGGAATAAAAACAACGTGTCTCTGCCCAGTTTTTATAAATACCGGATTTGTCAAAAATCCCAGTACTAGGTAATGGTCAAAATTCAGCATTACATGTTTCAATCTGCTTTACAACTGTTATTCAAACTGAGTATATAAAACTGAGGTTAATTGGTGTATACGATTGGCTAACAAAAATTTGCAACATTGTTTATCCTACATAATGATCATCTTCTAATTACCTGACTTGATGAAATCATGAAACATCCTACTTTATATTCAACTGCTACCTTTATATTACCACTGTTGCTCTTATATGAATGCTTTCCTTTCGTTTAAGGCTTGGAAGGATTTTGGAGGTTGACGAAGTTGTAAAGGAACTGATGGAAGGAATTCTCACTAACAAGAAAATGGTTTTTGTTCCATCAAATCAAAGCTTTGCTTTACTTCTTGAAAGGTAAGAACAACATAAGTATCGGGAATAACTCCATGCGTGTACAACCATGAAGCTTGTAACATCGGATTCAAGTTTAACCAATAATTTAGAATACGTGAGAAGACAATGAAATAGAAGAAATCATATTTCTTTCTATTGAAAACAGCAGAGAACAAAAAGTTTTTGCTGAGTCCTGTCATAGGTCATTACAACCCACTGTTTGCAGAGAGCTGCTGAGTGGGGATCTTGACTGCTCCACAGGCTGACAGGCAGGCAAAGGGAGACCGAGGGATCTCTTCCTTCACAGACAAGATTTCTCATGGGCTTGCCAAGAACAGGTTCACAGGTTCTCTGAACCAGCAGCCACAAGCTCCAGAAGCAGCTGAGGAACTGCTGCTTTTTAGCCTTCACTTCCTCATGCCAGCACCAGAAGATCTAGGCCACAGGGGCTGGGAAGGGTGCTTGAGAAGGACTCTGTTGCTTCTGCTGGCCATGAGAAGTGCAATTTGTCCTCTCAGGCTTCTTCATTACCCCATTGTAGCTGCTCCGCTGGGACAACACTTTAACCAGAGCTTAGTTTCCAAACTTGGAAGGCACATCAGAACAACTAAATTACCACGTCAGTTAGCTTCTACAGTACCTCAAGAAACCCTTGGTAACAACTTGATGAGCAGACAACTTGGCTCTAAACAAAACCTCCTATTTATGAGAGCCTGTAAAGAGTCTTCTGTTTTCCCCAAATTCCTCAATCAACCAGATGAAGTTTTGAAAGCAAAGATACCTGGCCTTGGAGTTATCATCAAAAGAGGAAGGTGGTGAAGGGATCGGAATTAAAGCTAGCCAAAGAATTTCAAGGGCTACATATCCTTGGGAACTACTCCCAGTTTCAGTTTTGGTCTCTGTCTGAGGTGAGCATGCATTCTGCATCCAGACCAGCTCTTGTCCCACCTGTGCTGCCACTTTTCCCATGACCCAAGTTCTTATCCTAGATTTCATTGCATGTTTTTATCTTTCAGGTTGCTTCCAGAACGTGCCTTGAATTATCTGAAAAAGATAACAGATGTGAAGTTTGATGCAATCATCGGACAGCGAAGCAACCAGTGAACATGTTTCCCCATGGCACGAGTGAAAACAGAACATGGACCATGTGTAGGGCAGTGGTTTTGATTCAGAGCAGAAGCAAGACAGGTACTTCCTCCAGGCCACCAACACCCTTCACACCTAGAGACTTGTTCCACACCTGCAGCAGAAACACACCTGCATAACATGCATAACCCTAGCTCTTCTCTGCACTGAAGCAGACAGGAAATGCAGCAAAGCCCATTTTGGGACAACAGAGGGATTGCCTGAGTATATGTGTTAATCTGGACTCATCACTGAGCAGTGATCTTGTGGGAAGAAATTCATATGGGTGGTCTGCTTCACCTTAACTAATCATTTAAAATTTTAAAAGCCGTATAATGCACACGGTTTTATGTGCTTTTGTAGTGAGTACCTGAAAAGCCACAGCCTTTTAATCAAGTGTTACCTGAATATGTTGATTGTCGCGTTATGTATGAGCAACATCAGCACAACTTGTACAGAATAAATGCAGTTCTTTACCCAAAAGGTGCCTCGCAGCAGTTCAGCCATAGCCAGGTCCTGGAGGTGCATTTAAGGCACAGCAGCATCAAGTAACGCGCCCTCTGCCGGTGTCATTTCCCACATGGCTTGGTAATCCCCAGACTTTCCAAACAGCTTCCTCTAAAACGGGTGCAGTATTTCTTGGCCAGTTACCGGGTGCCCTTCTGCATTTCATGGTCACCTGAGAACGCAACTTATTTCAACCAAAGGTAGAAGTTACACTGAAAAAAAAAAAGTCATGGACTTGTCCTCACACTAGCAGGCTCTTGTATCTTTAAATAAAAATCAAGGAGATGCTAAAAACCTGGAAGCTCCTCATTCATGTACTGGGGTGAGCTGAAGTGGAAGTCCATGGGACTTGTACACTATTATAGACCAGGAGAGAAAGCCTTGACAAGGAAGCCAGCGACTCCTGGATAAGCCTTCATTTCAGCTAACTCATGCGTTCTTCACAGCCCAATGTTAAACTAGAACTGATACCAGCTAACATGCATGTTTCCACATACCTCTGTTTTTTATCTCTTCAAACACACACAGAGATGATTGAGGGCAAATTCCACTTCTTTTAAACCCTGCACTGTTCATTGCACAAGATGCCACAGCTCCAACAACTCAGGATGATTCCAGGCTTTCTCTTCCACACCCTGCTCTGCCCCTTGCAGGAACAGGGTATTAGGGATGCTCCACAGCAGGAAGCAAGCCTGGTGCTGCGGGTGTTGGGGCCACGGCCCCAGAGGAGCCCCGCTGTCCCTCACAAGCCACCCACCTGCTTCCCTGGGCACCACTGTGACCAGGAAGAGGTTAAGCCTCCAAAGGTCTGTGTAAACTCCCCTTGGCCTGTGGAACAGCAGAACACTAGGCAATGAAACACTGGTCAAAGACCTCTTCAGATCAGAGAGGTTTTCTGCCTACTTGTGCAATAGCTGGCTGCATGGCTGTTTGAGGGAGGTCTGAACACATTGCTGCATTAAGCACAGCTACACATGGGTGGTTTCCAGTGTAATCCGTCCTGATGTCCTTCCTGAGCATTTGTCCTGCCAACTGAGATTCTTCAGACAATTGAGAGCTCTTGTAATCCAGCTTTACCTGCTCTTATGTAGCAACAGGTCTAAATTAGTGCTGCTGGCAAGAACTGGCAGGAAAAAAAAAAGAAAGGGTTCCTTTGGTACTCATACAAACTCCACGGAACAGGACTTTCTAAGCACAAGTTACCAGGTTGGGACAATTTGATTCCTAGTTGATCCTGTGGCTGAGAAAGGGCTTCTCAAAATTCTACTCATGGAAATAAGTTAAAATTAATAATGAACAAGTTATCCAGGTAAAGGAATTACTATTTTTGCATTTCAAATTAAAACCCTCCTAATGGCAAAACTTTTGAGAAGTGTTGTTGGAGCCACAAGGGAAAAGGAGGCTAATATGCACGTATGTCCAGTGAATTAGTTGTTCTTCTCCCTTTCTTAGAAGCAACCCTGAAATTTGAAAAGAGCATTTTTGTCTTGCATCTACTCTGAATTAAGTTCTGTGCTTTTGTGCAGTTCCTGCTATTATTTGAGCTGCATATTCTCACTTTTGCTTGGCATAAAGTAACATAAAAGTGAGGATTTAAACCTAGCAGAAGCCTATGCCATCAAACCACATAGCCACTTCCAGCAAAGCCCCAGATTCGAATAGGGACATCCCACTTGCCAGCTTAGGGCACTTATGAGCCCAGTGGGGACTCTGCTCTTGTGCTTTGCCTCCTCTTGGCCGCCTCTTGGAGCTGGCACTCCCCTGCCTCAGCCACAGCCCCATGCCAGGAGAGCAGCAGGACTGCTGAGCTGTGAAATCGGGGCCTGGCTGAACCACCAAATGTGTTAATTAGGAAGAGAAACAAGTTCCAGGAGATGACTAGTGCCTAGGTCTGCGTGTCCCCATGTTTTCAGATGCCTCTAAGAGGCTTCAGCTCCCTTCGGGCAGACCCACTCCTACTAGCACGGGTTAAAGCTCCCCACAACACCGCAGCATGATCTGTCTCTTCAGCAAAGCCTGGGATTACCAGCTCTGCTGTATTTTATAAAGTTCTTGAATCCTCCTCTCTGTGTTACAACTATCATCCATATCATGTTTCTTGTCACAAACATAGGCCACTTACTTACAAAATTGTGTCTGTACCTCATATTGCCACTGTCTCCGAGCACCAGGGCAACACTGAGGCCCCAAACTCATACCTGGGGCAATGCTCATAATTTAACACTTGCTGGTAACACCAATATACACATGCAATAATACGCGAATTTAGGTGGCAGTTCAGGAAACGGAACTCTAAATGCACAGAACTTCCTCAATCCAGAAGCTTAATGAAAGGGATTTTTCCTATTGTCCCACTGAAATTAAGCTGCCTGCCAGATTCCAATCTGAAACAAATTCCTGTTACCCTAACCCTCAAGGTTTCTTTAAACCTGCATCTAGCCATGTGCTTTGCTCTTTTTTCCAAGCATGCCTCTTGCTTTTGACGGTACAGAGCTGTACCACCGCGAGCACCTCGCCCTCACTGCAAAACCCCGATCAATCAGCGCGTGGCTGATTTCACACCGACCGACAGATCACATTCCAAACCATCACAAGCAACACCGTTTACTCTCATCTAGTGATTTCTGTGACAATGATAGTGATTTCTGTGCCGGTGCAGGCACAGGTACATGTACAGGCACAGGTACAGGCAGCCCTGCGGGCGCTGCCTTCAGTCCCCTCAGGGGCTCCCTCAGGGGCTCCCTCAGGGGCTCCCTCAGGGCTTCCCGCCACCCGCGCGCGCTTCCCCCTTCCCGCCTCCCTCCCTCCCTCCCTCCCTGCCGCCGCCGCGCATGCGCCCCGCGCCCCCTCCAGCGGCCGTTGGCGGCGGCTGAGGCGCAGGTGAGCGGGCGGCGGGGCTCGGCGGCTCCTCGCGGGGCTGCCCCTTCACGGGCCGGGCCGGGTTGGACGCGGGGGGAAGCTTCGGGGAGCTCCGGAGGCTCGGTGGAGCCCCGGTGGAGCAGGCGGGGCCGCCCGGTGCCTTACGTAACGCCCGGCCCCTCAGCGCGGCGAGCGGGGCCTGCGGATCCCAACGGTCCCCAACGGTCCCCAACGGCCCCCGGCACGGCGGGGACCTCCCCAGGGGAGCTGGGTGGTGGGTGGGAAGTAACAATTAAGCAATTAAGAGGGGACGCGCAGGCCGTGTAAGGCTCGTTGATCAATCTCCTGTCCTAATGAGTCCATACTCATATCTGTGTGATGCATCGTGTGTGTAGCAATGCTAAGGAGGTGGGCCTCCTGTACCTCTTGCAAAGGCTTCTGGAAGCGAAGCCTCATCTCTGCACCTGTGGCGACCAACAAGGCCCAGGTGAAGTAACTCAGTGAGTGTTGGCAGGCTAAAACCACAGCAGGGGCAGTTCTGCGCTGATTATTTGTAAGGGAGGTTGGGCTGGGCAAGGTTCACCTCTGGGCAGCTGGGTAGGAGACAAAATTCTGAGTTAGGGGGGATTGATAACCCTGCAAGCTATGCACCAGCTCCTACACTGCATAAGAAGCGAGTCCCCTGTGTTAACACGCCCAGATTACGCCTGTAGTTTTTGTGCAGCAGCATTCTCAGGACCTGGCATAAATGAAACTCAAATTGTCAATTACATATCATAGCCTGGCATTCTATTTTACAGCTAGCCAGGTGTTTGTAAAAGCAAGTCTACTAAGTTTTGTTCACAACAGAGGGCGTGATTACTGTGTACCTACTTTGATGCAGCACTCTGTAGTCCCACACTAGCCCGTATCCTCCTTCTTCCTCAGCAGGATTCGACAAACAAATGTAGTAATACTTACCTGCATCAACAGGCACAGCTTCATGGGTTGTGAAGCCTTTTATCTGTTATCTCCTTCCTGTCCTCCTGATTTTGAATGAGCCTGAAGGCTCTGGGATGCTCTGCTGGGTGCTGTTCCTAGATTTACAAGTCCAGGATCAAGGGCAGCTGGCAAACGACTTGCTGGAAACTATTTTGCTCTCAAGTTAATGCTTCCCAGGAAGAGCTGGGCTGAAGGCTGCTGTAGAGGCCCTCAGACTGCCAGTATTTTGATGGAAATCCTTGGCAAGGGCCTGTTTGGTCTTAGATGTGAAGTACCAGTGACCACTGTTGCTGCCTGCAGTGCATCTATCAACACTTCACTCCACTTCTGAGCATTGCCCAGATTGGCAGTGTTTTTTCTTTTGTGTTCTGCTTGTCAGGTATTTCTGAGGTTGCCTTGCGTAGATAAAGCACCCCTCAAGTATTTGTGTGTCCAAAAGGCAGGGTCCCTCCTTCCCCGGTGTTCTGGGGATTTTGGTGGGTTTTGGTTGTTCTGAAGTGGGGAAAAGTAAAGCAGGTCTAAACAAGTCACGGAATATTAGGTTGTTGTTTTTTTTTTAAAAAAAATGAACAAAACTGTCAAGTTGTCATCTCAGAAAGCCCAGAAGATAGTTGCTTTCTGGTGTTTGATGGAACCTGGGATTAAACCTCAGGAGCGTCTCCTTGAGCTCATTCATTTTTGGGATCAAAGGAAGCAGTGAAGAAGCTGTTGCAAAACAGTATTAAAGGATGATCAGGCAGAATATTTCCAAAATGAGATTTTGTTTAACTGTGCTTGTCATGCTTTGCAGCCCACCATTTACGTTCTTTTTTTGTTGAATTTTCTTCCTAGAAATAGTAGCATCTACAGCACTGACGTGTGTTTGGTTATAGAAGACTGTGGTTGCTGTTCAATGTAAGGCAGCTTTTTACTTACCCGTGTGACAAGTAACACACAACAGTTATTATACCTGTCAGTTTCTGCTACAGAGACCATTGGAAAGTCGTGAAAGGACCTGGAAATCTTATATTAGTGTTGGCTAAACTAGCTTTTTCATGGTTTTCTATGCAAGAAAGCCTGGTGGTTTTAAACAAACTAAACCAGTTGCGCATGCATTATCTGATTTTTCTGTTACTTCAGTCTTGTGGTGTACTTAATTTTCAGTAAGCACACAGGGCTTGGGCTTGCAATACAGCATGTAATGTGAACTTCCCTGTATTTTCCAACCACATCCGCTCTGTTGGCGTTCCTGCTTGGCCTGATCTCGCCTCATCAGCATGGGCAGTGGGGCAGTTTTGCAGAAAGTTTCTACCACTCCCTGGATGGAATGGGTGAGCTAGTTTTTGCCGTATTTCAGCATGGGCATATTTCCCCTCACTGTGTTCCTTCCTGGCAAGGCAGCTGAAGCCAGCCATAGCGAGCAGCTACTGTGGGGCTGCAGTTTGTGATCCTGCCCTCTGCTAGCCAGCCTCAGCCAGGGAGGATCTCATCCCTGACGACGCCTCTCACATCTTGTGGGCAGCAGCACCATCATAGACCTGTAGACACTCATCAGGCTCCTCATTAGACTTAGTCAGTGTTACACATCTGCACTTGCACAAGTAGATTTGTGTACTCAGATCCAATGCCTGTTTATAAACCTACCAATAGCACAAAACCCCTTGTTTGAGCATTTCAAGTTGTGAGTGGTACCTAACTCATGGTTCTGTTTCCATGTCCTGTAGCTGAGGTGCCCTCCTCCATTGTGCCCGCGGAGCTGTGCAGACAGTCCTCTTGTTCTGGGGCATCGTCTCCAAGCTGGTGTGCTGGGGAGGAGGCCGTGTGCTCCATGCGTGGGCTGGCCTGTTGTCAGCTCACCACAGAGGAAAACAGCGATGGTCATGCCCAGCTTGTGCCTGACAGCTCTTCCATTTTGCTGCAGAATTCCTTGAGGCGCGTTACTTGTACTGGACGTAATTGCTCTGTCAGCTTTGAGGCGTTTTATGGTTGCTTCAATTTCAGTGTTTGGCTAGAACAAACAAATCAGAAGTGAATGAATCACTTTAGCACGTTATGGTTCACTGAAGTGAAGCAGCTATCTTGTGCCTGTGCTCTGACCGACCACCCCTGCTTGTTTCTTGAGAAATAGCTGGGCTGGGATCCTTGAGCCCTTTTCCGAGGACTGGAACATCATCTCTGGACAGCTGCACTCTGCCAACAAATATTTCTAAATGTTTATAACTCGACCAGTAAAATTGCTGTGCTGCTGCCAGCAAACAATAGTGTGATACAAACAATATGTACTTTTTTTTCGTCAGGGCATTACTCTTCCATGGAAAGTGTTAGGCTGCTGCCTACAGACTAACACCGGATGATGCCGTGAATGAGGCACTTCCTTCAGCTTCCTTACAGCCGGTAACTTACACTGCTCAGGCAGGGAAAATGCCAGTCTGTCACCCAAGTGTGGATGCTTCACTGCCAAGATAAAATGAGGGCAGTGGCTGGCCATGGCAATACTTGCTTTTAGAGAAGGAAAGGCGCCGCATGATTTGTGCTGCAGCATTCTCCGAGCACTAACCTCCCCTCACGTAGCTGCTGTTACATTGCATTCTTGTTGATTTGAGGCACGTTCTGCAAACAACTTTTCTCATGTTGGTCTGTGGAGTCATGGTATGACACTGACAGAAACATGCACGCTAATCTAAATGCTTATTAAGCCTCCTAGCAAGTGATTTTTAATCTAGAGTACTTGTATGCAATTCAGAAGATGGAAAATACAACTTTGTTATGCTATCCCTTTAAGGCTGTACAATGGCAAAACTATTTGTCATTCCAGTTCTGGCTAGGAAGAGGAGTAGACTGGAGCTGAAGCATGCTGACCTTCAAGACTTCTGCGAGACCTTCATGTTTCTGCAGTGCACTATCTTGACTGAAAAAAATCTACTGCTAAAACTCATTGCTGGTCTGTTTAAAAGCTGAGAACAGCCAAGGCTTGTAGCCAGGCATTCAAATCAGCCCAGACCGGTATTTGCTGCAAATTACACCTCTCTTCTCTCCTTGTCCCGACAGATTATATCATGCACTTCACATACGTGTTCTTAATATTGCGTGTTACCTCTTCTAATATTACTCCCGTGTGTAACTCTACAAGCATGCCATGTGAACATGCCATCTGCCTCTTTCCAGAAGTAAGGTGAGGTACAGGCTGCTGACTTCCTCTAAAACCTCTGGTTGCAAAAAAACAAAAAAAAAACACATGATTTCATAACAGACAACAGTAATGCTCACAGTGATATTTCTTGAGCAAGATACAGCTTGGTAGCCCTTAGTTATCCCTGGCCAGCTGCAGTTACACAGGGACCTCTATCTCCTTCCGAGTTAGCATTTCAGCTGTCTCATGGCTTCAGCTGCTCTTTTCCATAGAAGCCAATGATTTGGTTAAAGACTCTAAATCTCAGATACTGAAATTAAGACAAGCGTCAGGTTTGGGGACAGAGTAGCTACGCAACCTGGGGAACAAGACACATCACAGAAGCAAGATGTTCCTGAATTGGTGACTTTGGGGAGAACTAAAATATTAACCTAAGATATCACTATCTGTCCAAGAGTCTCATCACAGTGAAGTTGTGGTGTGTCATACTACTTAGTATCTGAATTTCATATTCATGTTTTATTAAACCTGTTAATTTTACCATGTGTTAAAGTAACTTCTTTTTACCTGAGGATTACCTTCGTGTCATGTGCCCATACACATATTTGATATTGCCGTCACCTGTATCAGAAGCTTCTCCTGGTACTTGTGATTCCTGTCGACAACTTTGCTTATGTACAAAGCCTTGGTCTCCCTGGTGTGATTTCTAGGTTCTGCCCCTGTTGTACCGTGTCTGCTCTTGGTATGTACCAAATATACCAATCCACTTAAGTGCCCAGACCATCTCCAACAGCTTCACTTGATATGAGCATCCTGTGAGGATAGAAAACATTGCTTAAAATTAGTTACAGTTGGCTTTTGAGTTACTGCTCAATTTATTACAAAAATAAAAAGCCACCCCAGTAGTGTTGATTGAGGTTAGGAAGTGTGAGTTTGGGCTTGGTGTTTACAAAGCCATGTCCAGAAAGGGTGAAACTTCCACCATCAGCCAGTTTTACAAAGGGTCACTTGTAGGCTTGTAAACCTGGGTATGCAGCTGCAATTAAAATATGCAGACACACTTAGCGTGTACACCAGGTGGCATAACCGTATTCCTTAGGAGCTGCAAACTATTGCTTGTGAGTCAGTGCCAGTTCTGTCTGAAAGCAGTGTTTCTATGCCACTGTAAAAGTACTGTCACATGCTACATCTTACTTGTGAGTAACACATGATGCTCTTCAAAACCCTTGTGCAGCATTCCAACTTGGGTCTTTTTCTTGGCTGTCTTACAGGAAAGGTACGTCGCTTGCAGCAGCAGTAGAGAATATTCTAAGCACACCGCACCGTAACCTGCCTGGCCAGCTGCTGCCACCTGAATTGTAACTGCACGGAACACGGAGCTGTCAGCCACGCTGAGACCTAGAGCAAAAATGTGTGTGATCGCCTCAAGTCACTTCCTGCTCTTTCTGATGCTTGAGGAGTTGCATTTTTACTAAGGGGCACGGGTACCTTAAAAATATTCCAGAAGAACAGAAGTCCTGCACCCAGACGTGACTTAGGTTTTTATTTTAAAAGTTTCTTACTTGTGTCAGTCGGCTTCCTCCAACACCAGTGCCCAGGAGCAGAAATCGCAGGGTAAGAGCAATCATCAATTCTTAGGGTAGAACAAAGAATGATCATACAGAAAGTTAACCAGCAAACATTAAACCCAAAGCTAGCCAGTGTAAGAGAGGAACACACTACTAAATATTCCCTCTGCTTTCCAGAGACTTTTGTCTTAAAATCTTACAGATCCATTTGTTTCCCTTGCCAAAACAGGTTGTAACCTGAATCAGTAACCATGCTTTCAATCAGTATTTCATTTTTCTTGTGGGCTTCATCATTTTCAATAAAGCACAGTGTACACCTCACTGACTTAACAGGATTCAAGTTTTCATGGATTTGTGACACAGATGAAGCTTGAATTGCGCTACTGAACCAAAAACCAATTTGCTGTTCCCCTACTACTGAACTTTTATTTGAAAATAAAAAGGTGGATTTTATGTCCACCAAAACCAAACTGAAGTCCACAGCAGCAGAAAGAGTAAATATTTCTGTGACAGAAGCAGAAAAAGCCATTTCCTCTCTCCCTTGCCTGTGGTATCCCAGATGCATTTTTCAGTCCTGGAAAAGCTGTGCTATCAGTACAACTAAGATTCTTTTTGTCAGAACATTATACATCTTAGACACCATAAACTTTGTCAGCTAAAATAAGTAGACAGACCCTAAAAAATAAAAACTAGCAAGCAGTAACAAACTTTTGCAGGATGCTCATTTTCATGCTTTAAACATCAGTCTTTGGGTTAATATTAGATAAAAGCAAATCATTTTCATTCCAAAGTTTCTCTGTAAATGTAAATTTCTTTTTAGTTCTTGTTGAAACAGTACTAGAATGGTTTCATTTTGTGTTTTGCTTTGTATATTTGCATAAATACACAAAACACTTTAGAACTGCTTTAGCTTTGAGGAGTTCAAGGAAAACATGTACACAGTAATGTTTACGTACAAACATACCTGCTGGGTTAGGATCAACATTCTGTCCGTGTCCCTCTGCTCCTCTGCCATCCACAGCTGTTAGGTCAGGAACAGCAGAGAACACATCCTTGCCTTTTTGTTTTTGTTTGCTTTGTTTTTCTCCAAGAAGTGAGGGGAACAAGTCCATAAACAAGGGGTTTTCCTAAAGGTACCTGTGTACCATTTTGTCTCTGGGCTGTTTTGCCTTCTTTCTCTCTCACCCCACCCCAAATAAGACTGGAGGTAGCGTTTTTTACATGGTATCTAATGGTAGGTACTAACAATAGCTAATATACTTCATTTATTCTTTGGTTTGTGTTTTTTGTTTTTTTAACAGGGAGATGAAAAGGACTTAGCTACATTTTAGGACTGACCCAGGTGGGCTGGATTTTGTCTTGGCAGGAGCACTTGAAGATTCACGCTGAGAAAGACAAACCAGCCAATGGCTTCAGAATCCTTGGTCTCCGAGCAGGGAAAGCAACATCTGATGAAGGGAAGAAGGAGGCCACAGCAGCAGCAAACGAGATCTTCCACTGGTGATGCTGAAGATGACGTCTTCGTCTTTGAGGCAAATGAGGCTTGGAAGGATTTTCACAGCTCTCTTCTTCACTTCTTTGAAGCCGGAGAGCTCTGCGACGTGACGCTGAAGGTGACAGTCCCACCCTCATCCGTTGCATTTAACAGGCTGAGGATTAGGCTTTAAATAAGGGTGTTGGAGATGGCAGTGAATTTGAGTGGGAGGGGTGTGTGTGAAAGCAATACAATACTTATTGGATCTGAGGCATGTCCAAATAAGCTTTTTTTTTTTGTCATTTAGAAATTTCACAACTAAAATGTGGATGTTAAAGATACTGACAGTCCCAGAAATCAAGAACGTGACTATCACCTCACCCAACTTGCCTTCTAAGCAAGTTCCCACAATTGATCCCAATTTTTCTATTTTTGCATTCTGTGTTGCTCTTACATATCTTTCCTGGCGAACAGGATTTCTGGAACAAATCTAACTCCAAGCATTCGCAAAGAAAAAGAACCTCAGTCATGTCATTCTACAACCAGTCAAAGAGTAAATGAGACGGAGGGAACCAGTTTTACAATTCTTGCACTGCATTTTGTTTAAACACATTCTTTGCAGCTCAGCTCTATCTTATTTATACCCTGATCACAAGAAAATTATATTTACCATTTGTAGCTGTGGTTGCCAGCACCTACAAACCTTCTTTTGGGGAAGAACATTTCAGAACTGTTAACAACGCATCCCTTCCCTTCACTTCTTTTGACCTCATCTTCTCCTTTCTCCCCTTCCATCCACCCTTGCAAAAAAGCCTGCTTTTCTATTTATTTTATAATAGTCTTATTGTTTACAGTTGTTATAAGCATCATTAATGTGTGTTCTGGCTAGGGAAATTGGGCATGGAAAATATACTTTCCTGTGGCTGCAATTTAACTTTCCGTAAGTTAGACTTTTCTTACTGTTCATTTTTATTTGTATGAAGCTATTTTGGTAATTTAAAAATACTGGATTGAAGGCTGCCAGTCCTGAAGTGGAGAAAAGAATCTGCAGAGGCTAGAGCAATGGCTTCTTACACCAGTACCTGAGTACTAACACTGTAACCGTCATAAGCCACAGGAGCACACGGGGAGACTTGTGCTCTGCAAACTTAAGTCAGGAATTTCTCCTGAAGTACTGCTCCTGTCATGTGAGCAGCTCATTCCTGTCTTTGAATCTGTCCTTATGCTCCTCCATGTGTATTTGCTCTTGGAACTGAATGTGCTTACTAAACAGCTTACACCTGTGTTGATGACACTATTAAAAAGGAAAGAGCGATTCTGTATTGAATCACATCTAGAAAAACTCCAAAATATCCTATAGAATTTAAAATCCATTTTTTCCTTTTAAATCACTCACACCTTAATCTGAAAATGAAGACGTACGTGAAATCTGTCAATGAAATTTGCTGCTTAACTCCCATCCCTTTATGTTAGTACAGAGTGAAAAATGACCAAGTTTGTAAGAAAGCACTACTATAACACAAGTATTGGGTTGACTATCTTTTAATGTAATTGAAATCTGCAGATTTCAAAGTGAAAAGTTTGTTTCACAATTTCTGATCAGAATTTTTAAAAATATGTTTATGGGAAATAGTACATCTTTTGAGCACATCTAACTAACTTCTAAAGCCTTGAAGTGATTGGTAACCTTTAATAATCCCTATGTTTATTTCTACTTGCTCTTATTATTGCAGTTTTACGTGATTTTGCTTCTATGAAGAGCGTTACAGACTCCTCAAACAGTAGTAAAAGTACAGAGGTTTAAATTAAATAGTTTTAAAATGTCATTTCAGAGGTTTTCCTGCAAAATCTCTACATACTTATAAAACAACCAAGATTTTTTTTGGCAGTCACCTCTTGTCCCCAAGATGCTTTGAGAAGGTTCCTGAGGAAGTTTGCTTTAAAAAATGGGACATGGCTCTTGAAAGACAAAAAAGTTCAGCAGATGAATGATGCTGCTTCCTTGTGTTATGGCCTTGCCGTGCTCTGGTGGCCAAGTTACAGCTCAAATCTGCTTGGGATGCATTGATCTAATGTCAGCAGTACAGAGCAAACACTGTTTGTTTGTTTCAGCAAAATACGGGAGTTCAATACGTATTGAATCCAGAATACTACATTTTCAGCTTAACTGGCCTTTCTTGTAGAGCTGAAGGAAAGTAACTGAAGAAATAGTTCTTTCTTTTCTTTTTCTCACAGGTTGGTACAAAGCTCATCTCCTGCCACAAACTGGTGCTAGCGTGCGTTATACCTTACTTCAGAGCCATGTTTCTTTCGGAAATGGCTGAAGCCAAGCAGACTTTGATTGAAATCAGGGACTTTGATGGTGACGCAGTAGAAGACCTCGTGAAGTTTGTGTACTCCTCCCGGCTTACACTGACTGTGGACAACGTCCAGCCGCTCCTGTATGCTGCCTGCATTCTTCAGGTGGAACTGGTGGCAAAGGCATGCTGCGAGTACATGAAGCTGCACTTCCATCCCTCCAACTGCCTGGCGGTCAGGGCGTTCGCAGAGAGTCACAACCGCATCGACTTGATGGACATGGCCGATCAGTACGCCTGCGAACACTTCACTGAGGTGGTGGAATGTGAAGACTTTGTGAGAATCTCACCTCAGCACCTGCATAAACTCTTGTCCTCCAATGACCTGAACATTGAAAATGAAAAGCAAGTTTACAGTGCTGCTATCAAGTGGCTGCTAGCCAATCCCCAGCATCATGCTACGTGGCTGGATGAAATACTTGCACAGGTAGGGCAGAGTGAGGCGCTGGGTGCCTGTCTCGTCCCTGACGTGGTTCTATATCAACTGTTTGTATTTCGGTAGATTGTGAGAAGAAAAATGCTTTTACCAGATTTGGTGCTTCATCTTGTATTCATAATGGTGTGTTGACAGCAAGAGCAGGTTAGGCCTCAGGAGCATCAGGAACAAATTACGTTCTCCAGTTTCTGTCAAGAAAAGAGTATTCACTGTAAGCTCATCAGAGGAGGGAGCGGGGGAGCCAGCACAAAGCTCTTTCTGTGCCAGAGCAGGAGAGCAGAGAATTCTTAGATTTACATGTAGTGGAGAACCTAGAGCCATCACTTGATATGCTTTGATACTATGCAGCCTGAAACTCACTTCCCTTGCTGGTAAGTATTTGCACTTGTGAAAGGAGAGCAAAGCTGTTTGTTATATGACTAGGAATGGAGATAAGTCATCAAGTTATGCTACTTCTAGAATGTTTTGTTATACAAACAGCAAAAGACCAAGGTTTTGCAGCCCTGCAAACAAGCCAGGAAACACATTCTAGACCTTTTCAAGGTAGAATATCAGCACTGATTACCGGTAGGATCCAAAAGGAGTTTGCATTTTGATCCTTCAAATGTGTTAAGAATTCACTGCTTCTGAGAGGAAACCCTTAGGCAGGCATTCCTTACAGCAGGGCCACTCACCTGAGCATCATCCTGTCAAAACGGTAAGAACAAGCTCTGCATGTGCTGGTTATGGAAGTTTAAAATACAGCCACCTGAGGCAGGTAGGCAGAACCTGCCCTGGGGAGGAGGGAATGTGCCGTGTGCTGCAGAGTGCCGCACAGTATCATCAGCTGTGGTCTGACAGCTGTCACTGAACACCAGTTTGAACGCGCTGCATTCATCAGAATTTCTGATATTTGCATCACGCGAATAACATGCTGCTCTTGTTGCCTCAACGCATTATTTTTTCATTTTTCCCTATAAAAGATCTCAACTGTTTATTAAGTGACTTCCAAAAATTTTCAGCTGTATCTAGACTAGCATAATTTTTTTTTTGATACAAAAACCCTTCTTTAGCGCACTATTAATTAAATTTACAGGCTATATAAGTTGAAAATTTTAAAAAGAAGAATTAGGTTGGTGTTTACAACCCAGTTATGCTAGCAGATGAGATTAACGGCTTTATTCTATTCATGGAAACCAGAGTCCAGAGCAAAACAATGAGAAAGTAAAACCCTTCCTGCAAATACAGGTTGCTTGCCAAAATGCGTGCAGCCTGCAGTTGCATTTGACATGATTGCTAGCAGGAAACAGGACGGGCCTTCCTGACAGTTATTATCAACACCACAGTAAGTTTTATGGGCTTCACTGTTACAATGAGGGTCTGAATTTTCATCAGCCTTGTGTTGTTACTCCATTATTAACCCTGTGAGCCTATTAGCAGGTCTATGGTAGTGCTTTGGGGCAGGCTAAAATAAAATGGGGCCAAAGGGAAGGAAGAAATGGGATTGAAAGCAAGTGGTTAAGGAATAATTGCTAGAGAGACCTGCTTACTTGAAAGACAGGGATACTTGCCAGCCGTGAACAGCACCGCTCTGCTGCTCTGAGAAGCCCCGGAGGAGCTGGATTTGTCCCTCACCATTCTTGCTGAGCTGCCTGGGAGCTGTGTGACGGTGCTGACTGCAGCCCTTAGCAAGCCAGGCAGTGCTTTACTTCAGTTCACCCCTGTCCAGACCTGTCCTGCCTGTTGGCCTTCCTGCTGGCGCCCCACTCTGATTGTCCTTCATATTCCTCATTGTTTCTCTCAGAAGCACCAATGTGAGGTTTGCAGAAATTAATTCCTGGGGGGAGGGACATTTCAAGGCGGTCTTTGAGAGGCTGACCCTGTTTCAGAGCTGCTCTGTCATGGGAGGTTGCTCGAGGCAGAGACTGCTGGTGGCTGAGCAGCACTGTCCCACTCAGGCAGTGCCTGGTGGTGGTGGGTACCACCACCCATCAGGAAAACTCAAATCTGAGCAGTGTAAATGTCACGGTATCAACAGGCAGCTACCAGCACGGTTACAGCCTTACAGCTCTCTAACCTTCATGTCTCCTCGTCATGTTTTTTTTGGTATTAATCTTTTTAATAGTCTCTAACCTGCTCCTGATACATTCCAATATTAATCTGACATCAAGATTTGATCTTAATTTGAGTGGAGTGTCCAGCACTGTAGCTCCCTCTGCTCCCTGTGGGCTTTGGCAACTAGCTGTCCATGGCCTGTTTTATTGTCCTGCAACCTGTCAAGTCATCCTAGAGAAGGGTATAACTGCGCAGTCAGTAACACCTCCCTAACTCCCTAATATTCACTTAGTTCACACTGACAGACTTGCCACCCAAGATAAAACTAGAAATAAAGTCCTTTTGCACAGGCACAGCAGTGAGCTGAAAATTGGTGCCCTCACCAGACTAGCCTGAAGGGCGATCCCATTGAAACAGCAGACCCCGCTTGGAAGGAACCCCTGGCCATGCTCAGTGCACCTGCAGCCACAGCCCTCCTGGTACAGCCAAGCTGCCCTTCTTCCCCCACTGTGAATGCGTTGCCTACAAATGTAAATAGTTGTAGCAAACATTTGTCACTCAAACAAACTGTTTGTCTCAGTGTTGCTCTGGAAAAGAAAACGGAAGTTGCTCTTTTTCCCAAAGAGCACGGGGCTGACAGTAGGCTCGGAAGTTGCAGTCTGTTACGTGTACGTCGCTGTAAATGGTTAGATTCAGTTTAGCCAGTTACTCCAACTGTGTTCATTTCTGTCAGGTACGACTGCCTCTCTTGCCCATTTGTTTCCTTATGGGTGTGGTGGCAAAGGAAGAGATTGTCAAGCAGAATCTAAAATGTAGGGATTTGCTGGATGAAGCAAGGAACTACCACCTTCACCTGAGCAGCAGGGCAGTGCCAGACTTTGAATACTCCATTCGCACAACACCAAGGAAGCAGACTGCTGGTAATTAAATGTGTGTCTGATTATCCAGTATGAAGTGGTGTGGAGAAAAGACAGCGCATCTGCGTAGGGCTAGACAGCTTGGTATAAATGGTTGTTAATGCATAGCTGGGAAAACCATTGTGTACCTCTGTGGTGATTAGGTTCTGTGCTACCTTTTCTTAACAGAACTTGAGTGTTTTTTTGTTGTTTAGAGCAGTATTTATTCTGATCAGCCAGAACTGTTACGTGTATTATGTGCAGGCAGTATGCTCAAAGCTCTGCAGAAAGCAATGGGCACTTACCTTTTGGTGCGAGAAGGCTGAGCTAGCTTTTAGATTCTCTGCCTAACCTACACCAAAAGCAAGTGATGAGTATTACGCTGCAAATTCTAATTTCTACATTCAGTTAAGATTTAACTAACAATCAGTTTCTCTCCCTAAGCAAATCAGAAAACATACTTAAAATATGCATTACTTTTGCAAGAGAGTAGACAGTTAATTGCCCTAGCAGCATGCCAAACAAAGCCCAAAGTCCAGCATCCAATATGCAGGGCAATGACTGTGCCCCTTGAAGGGAAATACAGCTTCTCCTGAACTACGTAGTTTTCCCTCTACTCTGCTATGCAGTTTTATCCCCATTTTCCCTGCTAGCTCTCTGGAAACCTGTTATGTCTCCTTCAGGTGTGCTCTTCTGCGTCGGTGGTCGAGGAGGATCAGGCGACCCATTTCGCAGCATTGAATGTTACTCTATAAATAAGAACAACTGGTTCTTCGGCCCTGAAATGAACAGCAGGAGAAGACACGTGGGTGTCATCTCTGTGGGAGGTCAGTAACCTACTCAAGAAACCCTGTTCAAAAGGGACTTGTTTGCACATTTTGCTGGAATTGGTGCTATTGCTAAATAAATGCCTTGCATGGCTTCTCAAATTCATGTTAGCAAAGCTTCTTCCCCATGAAGGGCTGTTGCTTCTGATACAATCTCAGAGCACAAATCCCTAAAGTGGAGTTACTCAGCAGTCACCAAGACTTCGCTAGAACTCATGCTAGCTTCCTTCACAATAAAATCCATACAAGCAAATTGCTAGGACTGTAAGGACAGACCTACCTTCAGTTTTGGGTCATCGTCTTCTGCAGCCAGGCTTGGGCAGTCCAGAGCAGCTTAGCACTCACGATGCAGCTCTCCTTTGTACATGGTATCCCCTGCGTTGCTGCAGCAGAACAGAGATCTGCTTTCCCTGTAGAAAATCTGGAGAGGCTGAGGTAAAGATCTGAAACGGATCTGATCCGCGCTACTTGAGCTACAGGAACATTCCCTGTTTATTTATCTCAAGGTTTGTGTAAAGTCTATGATAAAACAGCTCTCTGGTTGAGTACAGCATATAAAAATATCAGGTCCATAACTTAATAAAACCCTGATACGGAAAACCTTTAAAAACATTAACCTTTGTTTGAGCTTATTTCTCCACGTAGGCAGGGAGACTCTACAAGGGAAAACTGAAACACTGCCAGGCAATCTCTGTATCCAAACAGATATCTCTGCATGCCTTTCAGGTAAAGTCTATGCAGTAGGCGGACATGATGGAAACGAACACTTAGGAAGCATGGAAGTGTTTGATCCTCTCACAAACAAGTGGATGATGAAGGCATCGATGAACACAAAGAGGTATGTGTCCCAGGATCCACATGGGACAAAATTTAAGTCCTACTCCACGATACATCATTTCTTGTTAATGCTAAAAAACTGTGTCTCTGTCCTGCCTTTATTTGGGTTTCCAAACTTTTGTTTTGTTTTGTTTTTTTCCTATTTTGTGGCCTGAATCCTAACAAACAATATCTGTAGAGCAGTATCTTTTGCCCCCCCCTCAGTATCCTTGTTTTGTTTTTCGTTTTGGTGGGCTGGCTTTTGAAGCAGAGAGAACTCTTCCACTGCAGCCCTACTTATGTTCTGATAACTAGGGCCTTTTTGCTAAGACAGATAAAGATTCTGAAACTGGTTAAGTGTTTTTGTATGTTATCTCTTTGAAGCAATGAGCAAGATACATCAGCATGACATGCACAGTAAAATAGTTAAGTCCAGTAGTTGCCTGATTTTTGCCCCTGGAAGCACTAAAACACTGAAAGATACATCGTGGATTTTTCTTGGCTTTTGCTACTGTAAGACTCTTCTATGGAGTTATAGGACTCTCAGATCTCTTTTTTTTCCCCGTTACTTAAATCAACCTCATTAATTCTACATTTAATTTCATAACTTGTTGCTTCTAAAAGTGACATGTAGAACTAGGAGTGAAATACTGGCCATGGCTGCACCCTAACACAATTTGTGGCTGTGACCTAATCAAAGGAGAAGGCCCAGAGTTGTAGAAATGTCTTCTTGCTCCTCTTCCTCCCTCCTGCCACCATGCTGGGCATATTCTTTATGACCTTCAGTTCTGGATTTCTGTGACATTTCTTTCTCAGGAGGTTGGTAAATGAAATGGCTGCTGTGCCTTGGCCACACCCCACCCCTCCAGTTCAAGAAGGCAGTGCCAGAACATTTTGCTGAGAGAAAACAGCCACCACTGGTTGTGACTACAAGTTACCTGCTGAGGCAATATCAGATAAGCCCAGGATATTGCCACACGCTTTATTCTGTTGAGGAACTCTACCTTCTGCACACATAAGTATCTGCAAACTTGCCCTCTGTGCAATAACACAAGAATATTCTCAGAGAAACAGTAAATCAGACATCTTGGTAATTTCAGTAGTATCTCACCAGTTTCATTCTAGACCATGCTTTACACTAAGCTCTCCGACAACGACACATTTCATTTCACACTCTAATTGTACTCTCATATTGCTAGATTTTGCAGCACAGCTTTGCCTGTTAGTATGTATTATCACCCGTCAAAAACTGATTTGCAAGCCATAGCAGCACCATACTAACAAAGTTAAAACCAGCAGGTTTTAGTTCTCCGCCAGACACAACAAAGTAAGACAGGAGATGCAAGATTCAGTATTCAGGTAGAGCAATTTAATAACTAAGAAAACCTCATATATTCACACAGTTGCTTAGAATACTTAGGCCTTTGACGACATGCAATCAAAACAGTATTCCATGCTGCCTGGCCTTTTTTCTTACCTTCTTTCCTCTTTTTTTTTTTTTTAATAGGACTTTCTCTTTTTGCAGTCTTAAAATATTGTAGCTTCAACAGTCCTGTTCATGGATGGCACAATAACATACAGGTGAAGCTGAGGTGAAGTTAAGATAAAACTCTAGATCCCCTGTAATGCATACAAAAGACTTTCTAGGTAATGCTGTGAGACTGACACAGCTGTGCAGGGAATCAGCCACAGTTCCTGATCATTATTTATTTAAAGCTTCACCTGATAAGCTTTCATTACTTTTCTCCCATATTTTGACATACTTGCCAGTCAGGTAATGTTGCACCTGATGCACATTTCCCATTCCCTTTAAGGGTTTGCACTGTGGTATTGATCCTATGGTTTTCTTAGGAGAGGAATCGCTCTTGCCTCCCTCGGCGGCCCCATTTACGCAATAGGAGGCTTAGATGACAACACGTGCTTCAGCGACGTGGAAAGATACGACATTGAGTCTGATCGATGGAGTGCGATAGCTCCCATGAACACTCCCAGGGGAGGAGTTGGCTCCGTAGCCCTCATGGTGAGTTACTGCTTCCTCCCAGCTCTGCAGCAAGTGGCAGAATTGACCTCGGGGACTGCTTTTCAAGTCTTGTTTTACAAGGCAGAACACAGGACTTAAACCAAATGCAGCTGGTAGGGCCGAGCTCCTCTGGCTGTCAGAATCCTACAGAAGCTTGCAAAAGGTGTGGGTATTTAGGATAATACTCTTGTCAAACTGTACTCCCGGTGTGAGAAGTACTTGAGGTACTGTGAGCAAGCACCAGGACACTTCTAAAAACAACAGGGGAGAGCGAGGCTAATGCTGCAGGTCTCATTCAGGAGCCTCTGCTTTGTTATCGCTGCCATCTTTGAATGCGTTGCATTTTGTCTCCACTGTAATCCTCCCCGTGTACTCTGCAAAACATCTGCAACAACACACAACCTTTTCACTTCTTTAGCTGGAAAACAGCATTTGCAAGTTAGATAAAGTTGTCGGAATTCCTACGTCAAGGTAAATAATTAGGAGGGTATGGCTATACTGTATTTTCCTGTAATTCTAACATTGCCTATGAAAAGCTACCTAAATACATGTGTATTACAAATAATTTTTCTCTATACAAATGTTTCAGAACCACGTTTACGCAGTGGGTGGCAATGACGGTGTAGCATCTCTTTCCAGTGTGGAGAAATACGATCCCCACTTGGATAAGTGGATAGAAGTGAAAGAGATGGGCCAGCGGAGAGCTGGCAACGGCGTCAGTGAGCTCCACGGGTGCCTGTACGTTGTTGGTGAGTAGGCGTGGGGCATTTCGTCGTGCAGTTTCTGCCAAGCACTACTGTTTGGAAGGGGCTCTCCTTGCTGAAGGAACTGGGGAAGAGACAGACCTGGCCTATACTGCATGTTCTTAGGCAGGAGAAGAAAGCAAGCATAACCATGGCACATTTAACTAATCACATATGTTAAAAGGAAATAAAAAACAGTTCCTAACTCATTTCAGGAGGGCTATACTGTTCAGAACAAGATGTCTACCTACGAAATCACTGTGCAACTCACTCGTCACAAGTTTCCTTTTTATATAAGTTATTACTAGAAGTTGTTACTACACATACTTGCAAAGCTCTCGGTTCTGATTTCAGCACATACCGCAACAGCTGTTTGGTTCAGAGATTACACCAAGTCCCTTATGCTTTAATGCCTTATGCATTAAAAAGTAGTCATTAAATCTTTTTTGAGTAAAATACACCTTGGACAGCTTACCCACCAATGGGAGTCCATCACTGAAGTCAGTCTTCGTTGAGGATTTTTTCCTACTCAAGTTTTCAGCAATTGTTTCTTTTGAACATACTGCAAGAGCTTGTTTTATTTAAACCTGAATGAAATCAAAACCCATGCTTACACCAGGCTTACCGTTTTGTTTTTTTTTTTTCTGTTCCAAGTTAGAAGCCATTTCATTGTAACTACGTGCAATACAAATTCAAGGAGCAAATGACAGAAATAGCTCTTCCAAAGTGAGTTTAAGAAACAGTGTTAAAGTGATATGTGTAAGGTGACAGCATAGAGAGCTGCTAGATTGATTTTTAGGACATTTTAAGAATCAGATAAAAACACAGACCTAGACACTAGCCCACTCTATACTAAAAGCCCCGATAATACAAACCCAGAATATCACTACCACCAAGTGACTAAATACGAGTGCGTGATGACTCCCCCTGCAGGTGGCTTCGATGACAACTCTCCGCTGAGCTCTGTGGAACGCTTTGACCCACGCAGCAACAAGTGGGAGTATGTCGCAGAGCTTACGACCCCACGGGGTGGAGTCGGCATCGCAACACTGATGGGGAGAATTTTTGCAGTGGGAGGTCACAACGGCAACGCGTACCTGAACACAGTGGAAGCATTTGATCCCATAGTGAACAGGTAATTTAATGTTTTTCATTTGGCTTACGAAAGCGCTCACATCTGCCTCTATGAAAACACAGCTTAATAGAAACTGTGGGCACCAGGAGCATGTCTGTTGTTTCCTGGCAGTAACTGAGTAATATTCATGAGGAGTGATGCAGGAATGCTGCTCATGCTGCTGGGTTCTTGAAATACTTAAGTACATTCTCCTCCTGCTTCCTCTTCCTGCCCATCCCTTGTCCTCTCACCTTCATTCAGTTTGTGGTGCTCCCAATGATTTTGCACTAAACTTACCAGAGAAATAATGAGAATAAACTAGCAGGTTGTATTTTTGTGCAGACTTAACAGCTAGATTCTACGATAGAATTTCAGACACAGGAAATAAATACTTCAGGTTGCTCAGAAAGGCCAACAGCTGACTTTTATTTTTCTCTTTGCCCTCTCCTCTAGGTGGGAGCTCGTCGGCTCTGTGTCGCACTGCAGGGCTGGGGCAGGCGTGGCTGTGTGCTCCTGCCTCAGCAGCCAGATCCGTGACGTGGGCCAAGGATCCAGCAACGTTGTTGATTGCATGTGAGCTCTGCTGCCTCCAAACTCCAGAGGAGTCATTGTACAGAGGCACTACAGAGCTTTTAAATTCAGTGTTTTGTGTGGTAGGTTAAGAAATAAACACTATACATTTTCTCTGTGAAAATGTTACCTTCTGTGACTTTCAGGCTTTGGGTGGCTTTCTGACAACAGCTATACAGAAAAGCCTGTGAAAACACGGAATAACAGTGTGACTTACAGGAGAAAACCTGCCAAAAGCTGTAATCATCCCGTCTTGGAGAAGCTGCAATTTCAGAGTCAGTGGAGGCAGCTGCTGCAGCGACTCGCTATTGAACTGTAAACCAGGCATGGGAGGGTGAGGAAGAGAGAGCAGCAGGCAGTGCTACCAAGCCCTACCCGACAGCCCTGCTGCATGTTTCTGAAGGACCAGAGTGCTGTTTATTAATGTAACTTATTTTCAGGATTCAAGTCTTAAGCATTTCCGATGTGTAGAAGAGCACTGAAACACAAAGCCTTCCAAGTTTTAGAAGGTAACGACATCCGTGTTTCTCACGAAGCTAACTGGAGTACAGAAGTTAACTGCACACCTCCCAGGGGACTGCTGGCTGTGGTGGGAACTGCAGGTCTTTCTCAGGCCCACACACTTGTTAGAAAGCTGAAATTTAGCCTCGGCCTGAATTTAGCCACTGGACTACTCAAATTATTTTATCCTCAATAAAATCTGTGGTAGTGACACCCTCCAAAAGACAAATTTCTATGGAGAGATCATTCCCAAAGTAACCAATGTAATCTGGCCTTGAGATGCGTCCCAAAATGTAGGCTTCAGTGGTCTCAGAATTACCCTTTTCAGACTAAAGGGAAACATAATGAAGTTGCAGTGTTGGGTTAAGACCTTTAAATGCAGCTCTAGGAGATGACACATCCAATTTCAGTACCCAGTGACAAGGCTGGGGTAACAGTAGGGGTGCTGGCTCTTTTAAGATCATTCAGCTACAAAGATCTCTCCTCAAAGCAGTTTCACGGCTTAAAGCTCAAATAAACCAAAGAGAACCAGCAGCAAGAACAAATGGCAACGAGCAGTACTTACCGTAGAGACTGAAACAGGAACTTGACCCTGCTCCATGCAAAGACATCTTGTCACGCAGTCACAAACCTGAGCGCGAGGTCAAGTCTGGCTGGAAAGACCGCGGTGTCCTGCTCTGCATCACCGCCAACAAGCCGAGACTGATGCCCCATGGTGAGCAGGGCCCCACGGGGCCACCGTGTTCGTGGCCAGGGAGCGCAGCAAACTTCTGTGCCTTCAGTACCAGGGACGAGGTGCGACCGCACCAGCATAAAAGCACAGCCACCTTTCGCTGTTGTGTTACCATCAGTTAGCTTTGCAGTTTCAAACAGCTTGCACGTGGTTAGCACCCAGGGACATAACAAACGGTACTGTAAATAATTAAACACTGCAATAAATAAAATGTTTGTACTTCGCCTTGTTTATAGTGTGAGTGGATCATGCTATCTTGGGGAAACATGAAAGAGCATTTCTTGGGGGAAACATGGAAAGAGGGAGTGTTCATTGGTTCCCATGGAGTGCAGCTCTGAGCAGAAGGCCACTGTCCATGGGGACAAACCTGTGCTAGAGCCACAAGCTGTACAAATGCCCCCATGCAAGAGTTTGGTCACCCCTGTGGTGACTGGCACAAGGCAGAGCAGGAGCAGGCTCTGAGCCACTCCTGACCTGGCCACGTGTGTGAAGAAAGGTGTTCTTCTAAATATTGCTCTCTCCTAAAAGCATCTCCATCAGCCAGGCTGGAAGCACAACTGGCTTAAACATCCTGCTCAAACATTCAGCAGCAGCTCTTAATGCAAACACCAACCAGACACGGGTGAAAGGCTGCAGAAGGTGCTGCACTCGATGCTTACGTATCTCCAAGTGTTCAAAAACCACGCATGTGCTCTTAGTCCCATCAGAAAGCCTTGGTGCTGCTTTTCCCCTACCTGAAAGCCAGCTGAGGGAAACCATTCCCTCCACTCAATCCCACCATGTCCAAGCCCGGGCAATAGGGACACACAAAGCCCAGTGGCCACCAGGCTCTAAGTCCCTGGAACTTGTAGGAGGTTCTCGACTTGTGTGTGCACTTACCTAAATCCATGTCCCCACTGCCTGGCCTTGGCTTTGTGCATTCTCCCTTCCCCTTTCAACAGCATTTTGATTCTGGGGTGATCAACAGGAGTTGGTAACGAGCTGCGCTAGAGAATTCACATCAACAAAAATTCAGCCAATTCACCTGTCCAGGCTTAATTACAACAAATGCCTGGAAACTCCAGGTTATTCCCACCTTAAAATGAGGCCTTTTATCTTTATTTAGGCAGAACCTACTTTTAAAACTATTTTCAGCATCACTGCTGTGCACTGTTTTGCAAACCTAAGTGCTTTATACCAGATGCTCCACTTAAACATTTTGCTTACCGCTTCTGCCACATCTGTATTTGTTTTCTGAACCTATGTGTGTTCTCTTGACTGGAACTGGCAGAAAACACAGCACTCCCAGCCAGGAGATCAAACTTACAATTGTAATTCTTTCCTGGCTCTGTCAGCAAGGTTGGTGCTGCTGGTGCCATTTCATGACATTTTTTAACGCAACTCCTTGGCTTACGGTTTGGTTTTAGAGCTGTTCCAGCCCCAAAAGCAAGCCAACAGGCAGCTGCATGACATCTGCAATCTGACTTGTGTGGTCAGAAAGGTCTGCAAAGGTTGCTGTGCTCCACCACTTGGAGCAAAAATCCCACACGGGTGAATACCTGCATTGTTTCTAACACATCTCCATCCAGGTGACTCGATACTTGGGTCCCTGCCTGCAGCCGGTGTCGCGGTGGAAATATGACTGGGCTGCGAGCACAAGGGGCCTGGCCGCCCCGCTGAAGTGCCCCTCTGCCTGACAGCGACCTGCAGGAGCACCTCGCTGCTGCTTTTTTAACTAAAGACCCCGAAAAGGAATGCTCTAAGCAGCCAAGTATGCTGTTACAGCCGTTCCTGGGAGTGGCAGCAAGGCTTGGCTCTGGTTACACAGCCAGCGAGAAGCTTTCTGGTCTTTGCTTGATGGTAAGGCTTAGCTCAGGCCAAGAATCATAAGCAAATTGTCTTCCCACACACACATTTTCCAAGAAAAACAAAAAAGGAGAAAACAGAGCAGTGCAAGTCAGCACACCTAACCCCGCACGTCTGGGAGAAAGTAATCGCAAACCCACGCCGGGCACCCAGCTGCGCCCTGAGGCCTCTCACCTCGAGGAGAGCTGTGCCCCCGTCTCACCTGCAGCCCCCGCGTGCCGTGACTGGGATCCACCCGCTGCTGATGGCTGGTTGTTAAGAGAAGGTGAACTAAAATTAATTAATTATTATTAATTAATTACGGCTGGCTCTGCCTTCTCTTCAGTGCTATCAGCAGCCACAGGGCAGTGCCAGGTTACCCTGCGTGAAGGTATCAGGAAGGAGGCAAAATTTAAATGCGAACCTACCAGGCTCCTGGTGCTCCTGAGGACAGCTGACCTGGTGAAACATGCCCGCCCCTCACCACGATGGATGCAGTTTGAGCACACATCAATTTTTTGCCAAAGCAGTACTTACGGGTGAGCGCCAGCATCGCTGTTTCCTCAGGATGGTCACCTGGATTTCAAACTTAAAGGTTAAAAAACAAACAAACATGAAACATCCTGCGGTGATGGCTTCCCTCCAAAGGCAGCAGTGTGGTGAAGGTGTGTCCATGCCACTGAGTTTTTTGGGAAATTCCAGCACGTGCCAAGGAACATGCTGCGCTCATGCGTGGGCAGAGCACGGCTGAGGGAGGGCGAGACCGCTTGGCTCGGGATCACCAAAACAAGAAATTCCCTTCTTCCCTCCCTGCCCCCAGGTGGCTTCTTTGCCATTTTGCCTGTACAGACTGAACCAACATCTCCTTCATCTGAAGAATTTAAAGACAAGCAAGTCAAAATTCATTTCTTTTAATTATATATATAGACATATCTCTCTATGTAACTATACATACACGTGCACACAATTCATCCCCTGTACAGAAGACAGACAAAAGATCTGTGGCACAATTTCTTTGGAGACATTTCTGTTTGTGTTTCCCAAGCAGTATCAGATCTGATTTTCACCTTTTTCAAGGACTATAAAGGCAGCAACTTCTTACCGACAGACGCCTCAGAGTGCAGACTGAGCGCCGCAGCCCCAGCGCCCCTCCTTTTCTGGGGGTAACTTGACAACATTTACAACCCACGTCGGGGGGACACCACAGTTATTTAAGGACATCTTCACTAAGAACTGCAGTGTTTTATTTATGCTTTAAAAAGCTGAGCAAGGTAGGGTGAAAAAAAAAGGAATTAAAACACAAGCCCATATGGTAAGCCTTGAAATATGAAGCCCACGGCGAGGACCCTGCCACTGCCACACACCTCTATCCTGCTTGGGAAGTGCCATGTGTGAAGCCTTCACGGGTACAGGGTGCATCTCACCAACCCCTGCTTCCTGGGGACACGTGGAGAAACCAAGCAAAACCAAAACCTTGCCCCCACAACCCTCACCAGCTCCCGCATGCAACCAGCAAGGAGGTGCATGGCTCTGAGCAGCTCACGGACACTGAAGCAGAAGAGAAAGAAGCCATCAGCTGGGTGGCTGTTAAGACGTGAAATGTTGGACCCAGAGAAAAGCTTAACCTCAGCAAGACTGACTGGGAGAGGACAAATCCCAACAAGGCTTCCAGGAGCCTCGTACCTTGACAAAACCCATCACAAAACCCCAGTGATAACACACTGCAGATGGAGCACATACAAAACCCTTGCTTCAGGAACACCAAGTTTACGGAAACAGATTGAGAAATGCTGACGGTGGCCTTGGAATACTGCTGGTTTCGGGTAGTGGTGGGGTTACGAGCAGTGCAATTCACATCAAGAAAGCACAGGCTGCCAAAGAGATCTCTCAGTGTCTGGAGGCCAGCAGAGAGCTGAGCAACTGCAATCAAACTTAATGCAGCTGGTTTGCCAAAAATAACATTTGCCTCTGAAACAGATAAGCAAAGCCAAGGAGAGAAAGACAGCTAATCCAGAGCGTGTAACAAATCTCAAAATAAATTATACACGGCTGTGAAATTAGGTTTGGTCAACACAGGCTCAATAAATAAACATGCAGAAATAAAAACCCAACCCCAATTGGGCATGTTACTGCCACGGGACGCCTGGGCTGGCACAACACTGCTGCAAGCCCCAGTTTTGGCTCTGCCGGCCACCAACAGCTCGCCCCGTGGCCACCCGGCCCTGTGGCAAACCTCATGGGGGCCAAGCTGGCTCCGTGCTGCTTGAAACTTCTTCTGGTTTTGGCAAACCGAGTCCAGTGCCACCTTGCCGCCAGCTCCTCCTGTCTAGTTGTTTTTTCCTTCTACTTCACGATCAGTTTTGCCCTTGGGATTTTAAGTGTGCAGCGAAAAACTGCACTGACTTAAAAAAATGTGTGCATTTCCATACGCGCTATCTGTAACTGCAACATATCTGGCGAGCATTAAAACAGATTTCAGCATTCTCTACACTTTAGATGATGTATTAAAAAAAACACATCCATTAGTAGCAAACATCGGAGGTGCAATGTGTGTTGCAGAAAGGACCTGAAAGAAACACGGGTTATACCACCACAGTGCATCGAGGCATGAAGCTGCTCTTCCAGGGAGTGGTGACGTCCTCCAGGGGCCAGCAGGGAGCAGGACACCCAGAGAAGAAGCTCGAGGCCACGCAGACCCCTCGGGCACGGCACGAAGGCAGCACCCGACCCGCCCGCGCAGGGCTGGTTTCTCCAGGAGGAGCTGAGAACACGAGGACTCTGGCAAGGACTCGTAACAAACGGGCGACTTCATTTATTGTTTATTACCCCGTCGGAATGAATCGACCATCTCGGACACTCCACCACACGCAGGGCAGAAAACATTTACAAGAGGGATGCGCACCCCCAAAATAAGTTTAAGATGTACAGGTTTGCAATAGGAACCAAGAGGGAGGGGAGGAAAAAAAAAAAACAAAAAACGAAAGAACAACACAAAAACAAGGACATTGCAGTCAGACTTTGACTTTTGGTTACAGAAGAGATCTCTGTCTCCATGTAAGTGGGGCTTTCCAACTCTTAAATAAACAGCATCTTAAAAATAGAACATTTGACAATTTAAACACATGTATTATTCCTTCTAAATAAATATTGTGTGGAAATGATGCTTTGTTGCCACCATACCCTCCTTCTCTCCTTCGGGTACTCAACCATCACCTCTGTTTTTCCTTCTTCCTCGGATGCATGGTTGTTTTCTAATGGCAAATCCTATTTCTCTTTTTTTTCAATTTTTTTTTTCTTTTCAATTTTTTTTTTCTTTTTAAAGGGCCTGACCAGACTCAGGTGAAAACTACGGGCATCTTCCCTTACCCCTCACAGGCCTCTGACCTAGCTCGTGGTTGAAATACGATGGCTTTCTAAAAAGTAACAACTATCCGAGCGGTTTCCTCTGTAACAGAAAGAAAAAGCCGGCGTGCAGCCGCTTCCCACCGCTTCCCCTGGCCCCTGGCCTTTGCAGCGAGAGCCCCCTGCCGCCCCAAAGCCGAGGGTCCATTTCGGTGGACCCGAAACTACCTCTGCACCAAGACCAAGTCAGAAAAGGCCGCCGGCCCGCCGACCAACCCCAAAGTGCACACCAGGAGCTGGCCCTGGCTGTCCCCTGCCTCTCTTCCTGAGATCGCAGCCCTGACTCCCAGCCTCGCCTCTGCACTCGGGCCCACGCTGGGGTAAATTGGGCAGGGGACACGGACCTCCCTTCCACCACTTCTCCCTTCCAGCTTCTCCCTGAAATGCGCTAAGGCTTTGAATAAAGTGAACGTCAGACGACTCCAAGGCCCGGGAAGACGCCCGGGGAGGTGTGCCTGCGGCATGGCACGGCGCCCTCCCGCCAGCTCCAGCTGGAGCTGAGCCCCGCAGCAGGGGCCGCCTCTACGGGACCTACTTCTGGAAATGCAGACCTTTTGCTGATATGTGTTCGCTGCTGGCTTCTGCGAGCCTCCAAACCACCAGCAGGTTATTTTACAACGGAGGTGCTGCTGCAGGCGTGCAGACCCGTTCCTCCATCCTGGTAATTAGGGAACTACTTCACCGGAGACGCGTTCCTTCCTGTAAGCACAATGATTTGGGGACATCGTCCTCCTCTTTGCCGCTCCCGCAGCTGCGTCAGCGGCAGGACGAGGGATGCGAGAGGGGACCAGAGGGCTAAGGCACACTATTAGACATGAGGATGGCAGGATGCTGCTGTCATGCAACAGGAAATCTTTGGGTGCAGAAGGCTGTCTTCCTACTGAACGCACAAATGCCGCAGACACCGCCTTCGCTCTTATTGCCACTTGCAAAATCGCAATTTCAACTGTGCAGCTCCTGACAAGGAAAAAAGGCTTGCAAACACCTCGTGATTCCCTTCCGTGATCCCCTGAAGACAGATTTCCAAGTCCCTGGGCCCACCCTGGGGCTTTGGCTGAGGAAGAGCACATCAATCACCTCCCACACAAAGGATGCACGACTCGGGCACTGGCCCCTGCTCTCAGACACTCGCCGAGAGCCGCGCGGGTTGCGGGCCGATGCCCACGTGCAGGATTTGCCCCGCGTTGCACAAGCAGCCCCTCCTCGCTCACCCACAGGGCCCCAGGACGGCCGCGCGCCCCCACCCACCGAAACCACCCACCGCACCCGGACGCTGAGCTGTTTGCAGCCACACCTGGCGATTTCGCCACCTCAACCACGTTCGGCTGACGTGGCTGAAACAGCGCGAGACGGCGAGCAGCATGGCGTTAGGGGCGGGCGCACGGTGAGGAAGAGGGCCGCAGCAGCGGTGACTCCAGAAGTGAAGGTGCAGCACCGACAGCAGGGCCTCACCCGACTCTCAGCACAGGAGCTGGCTGGCGAGTGCACACAGGTGAGGCTGGGAAGCAGGCGAGGCAGATCTCTGCTGTCTCTGCTGTAACATAATGCTGCTGGGTGCTGATGAGGATGCCACTCGCCATCCGAGAACCAGCGTGGTGTGATGGGCTGCATCCGTGCTTGCAAAAACACTTCTCTGACATCTCTTCTGGGCACGCTGCTGCTGCAGACTGTGGCATGTTGCATAATAACTCACCTCTGGAGGCAGATTTCCTTCTTGTCGGCACTTCTTCACGTGTGATTATTGTCCTGCTGGTTATTCGTAATAGAAATGTTTATAGACCATCAATACATTGAGCCATTCAGACAATTCATTGCACTTTGTTGTTTTAAAGGAAGGCGACATCAACGCTGGGGCCCTCCTATGTCTCTTCTTTTTCAAGGCAGCAAAATGTTACCCTAAAAACAAAGTTCTTTTTTTTTTTTCCAGTGTAACCAGATCCCTTCCACTCTGATTTATTTTCCCTTGCAGGTGCTTTGTATCCCATGATTCAGCAAGCCAGACTGTTTCTGAGGCTTCCAAAGTGCAAAAGAGTTCAAGGTACTTAACCACCTTGAGCACCAGTTAAGGCGTATTTGTCTCCAGTCTCAGCCACTGTAAACCCTGTCTACTGTAGTGTACCAGTTCGGTCATGCTACTGTTCAGTGCCAGAGGGCACACCGCTGCGCTGAGCTCAGCAAAAAACTCTAGAAAAGGAGGAGAGAGAGAGACAGAGAGAGAAAACAATTGGTTGGTTTCACACAGGAGGCACAGCCAGGCTGGGGGCAGCGAGGGGGGACAGCAGCAGTTCTCAGGTCTCACAGAAGACCTTGTTAATGCACAAAGATCAGAGCTTTCACCAGCACAACAAGCACGTGATGCAGGGCGCATGCAAGAATCACACACACACACACACACTTGAAGTGCCTCCCCACGTGCTGGCATCGGAAGGACATGGACACTCCATGGCAGGTGAGCAGGAGTCTGGGTGTTCGCAGCTCAGTCCCTGCTGTGCACGTCCCCCAAGGGTTAAGAAGCCAAATTGGAGTGTTTTTCTGAGTGCTGCCTGGAAGCACAAGCAGCTGTCATCAGCCTGGTCCCTGCTGTCCTCCATCCTCAGAGCATGGAGACCTCACAGCTCCTCAGCCAGACAGGCCTCCAACGTCTCCACCAAAACAAGTGCCAAGCCTACACGACTATTCACTGCTCTGCATGGATCCTCACCCTCGGGAGTATTTAACACCCCAGCCAGTATTTAACACCCCAGCCGTCACTCCCCTGCACTGAAGCAGCAGCCTAGACCAGGGGTTGACTTTCATCTTGCTTGGTGCATGCTCTGCCTGCTCTCCCGTGGGTTTTCTTCTGTGACCCATTCGCTCTGGCCCACCAGCACAAGCTTTCAGTGTGGCAGCCTTTGATCAGCCTCTCGAGGACACAGCCCAACACACTGCACATGAACTGCACGCATCTGCTCAGCGGACAGCCAACAACTGGAGTTACTTTATTCAACACTGACTTGCAAAAGCCTTTTGATTTTCAACAACTGCCTGACTAGCACAAGTGTTTTACAGCCTTCCAGTAATTTAGGCCAGGCACATCCTTCTCATTTTCTTTTACAGGACTGGCAATACATCCCTTCACTCACAGGAGCTGACAAACCTTGGTGTTCTATGACCAATGGCACTGCGAACGCCACGTGGGCTGGCACTCTGGGGCTGTTGCTTACCCACAGTTGCTTAGGGGACAATGAAACACTATTTTAAACAATAAATCTCTAAGGTAAAAAAAAGTAGCAGAGAATTTAGGAAATGCCACTGGCAAATGCCAGTCACGTGCCCAACAAGGGCTCCCATTGAAGTGCTGCTTGCCTGCTCTCTTACAGCAAGAAACCAGCCTTGCCATTTGTAAATCAGAAATACCTGGGAGGCTGACAAACAAAATGAAACACGAGGCCACTGGGCACAGACCTGTTTGAAAGTTGGCTTCTCCTGCTACTGTGAAGCAATTTGCCTGTTGCCTGGTTTTCTGTGCTCGATGCTCTCACCCCTTAGGCTGTTAGACTTCTGAGGCTACCGAGAAGCACTTTTAATTTGGAACACTCACCAATGCGTTGCCAGCAAGTACCTCTGCCTGAAACCAGCCAATGCACCACAGATGTCTATTTCTACATATTTGAGGCTTTGATCTGTGGGTATGGTGTTTGCTATGCGGAGCGTTAGGATTTAAGCAGGCACATGCAGATAAACACAATGTGCAAGACAGAAAAGCCAAAGGGAAAAAACCTTACCCTTATTCTTCCTGGCCAGTGCATCAGCCTGTTCCCAAATGTCATACGCATAGAGGATATAGGAAGTGATGTTGACATATGAAGAGGTGATGCTTGGGATATTATAAGGGATGGTGACCGAAGAGCTAATGCTGTTGCCACCACAATTGCTAGCGTTTGATCCTGGCTGAGAACTCACGGATCCAGCAGGAGAGGGCATTGGAGAAAGAGGAGAAGGCATGCCTGTGCTTCTGCAGGAGAAAGAAACACCACCATCAATGTTAGCTTCAGCAATAAATGTCTTACCACAAGGCTCATACCAGGAGCTATCCCGTGTCATTTGGGCCTGTGCTACGGAGCAAGTGTTGAAAACTGAGATGTGTTCAGCTAGAGAGGACATAATTATCCCTCAGGTGCAAGGCCAAGGTTTTTCAAGTGATTCCCCACTCCAAGCACTCCTCTTGGGACAAAGGAAACAAGGGATCAGATATCCAAAAGCATCACCCATCCACCTCCCAAAATCCACACCTATTTATAGAAGCCTTCACCAGGTAATCCAAGTGTTTTTACCCAATGACTTCAGGCATGCTTATGTTGTCCCCAGCTTATGGAGACTGGAGCTTCCTGGCAGCTTGTCCTTCACTTGCAGACCTGGAGAAGCTTAATGTGGCCAGCTCAGCTGCCTGCTGGCTTCACCCCATCATTGCTTCCCACTGCTTCACCCAATCCAGTTATAAGTTACTTGTACAGCCTCCACCACTGCTCCTGGGAGACCATTTACATACTGGTCAGCTGTACTGCACAAGGTGGCAGAAGAACAACTGGAATTTCAGACCAAACAAGCCTCTCAACCACAGAGTTTAAATGGAACAGATGCAGAGCTGAGCATCTATTTGCCACACACCATTACTGCAAAACACAGTAAAACTCCTAGCGCTGCTAAAAAGCAGGCCCAGTGTGCTGGGCTTTGGGTCAAACACTCTTATATGACAGCTTTCCTTTTACTTTTGCTGCTACATATACAAGAACTCTGCAGCAAATACAGAAGAATGACAAGATGTTCAATAAATCAGAGGTGAGAAAATGTGTTTCTTTTCTACATCTTACCTTGCAACACATGGAGAAGGTGCTTGTGTTACTCTGGAAGAACTCTGCAGCAAGGAAGAGAGCTCTTGTTAGTTTTGTTGGCCCACACCAGTAACAGCCACAGCTGTTCAACTGGCAGCTTGGCAACACGTGTGCCCTACCTTGAAGTGGTCATTCAGGATCCTGGAATACTTTATTGCAGTGTCCTTTTTGTAACGAAACATTGCCATGTGCAGGAGGGACTGGCAGCGCATGCTGTGAACAGAAAGAAAACAGAGTCAGGACCTGTGCCCACTGCTGCTGGCTCGCCAGCAATCCACCACGTGGGATGGGGACAGGCACCCATCAGCCTCTCTGCAAATTCAAGAGACCTCAGGATCTCTCCCCTGTCCTGATCATCTCAGAAATGAAGACTCAGTGAAAAAAAAAATCATACAACAGAAAAAAAAAAAAAAAAAAAAAAGAAAAAAAGAGGAAGGGCCACATTTTAAAGGTGCCCAGCCTCTTATGGATGCCAAGGGCTGAACGTGCCCCTGTCCAGCAGCACCTCAGCACTGTTCAACGTGGCCAAAACGTGGGCAGGCACATCACATTCTTCCACCTGAGGTGAAAGTCCTTACGCGCTCTCAAGTTACCAGAAGACCAAATTTTAGAGCTTGTGCCTTCCATGCGTGGTCCCTTTAGGTATCCTGGCTCACGTCAGAGATATTCCAGTTTGCTCTGGCTTTTATATTTTCCCCTTGCAGAACTCTGATTCACATTTCACTCATTCCTTTGCACCTGACAGCAACAGGGCTTTCACTGTCCCAGATCTAAAAACAGACTACGAAGTCACAGAGAAAACATTACGCACCATAACACAGCAAAGATTTTTTCATGTGAAGATGCTGAGGCGTCCGTAAAGGGTTTTAATGTCATTATGAATCTAAGGAAACAAAAATAACAATCATGTCAGTCATCAAGGCTCTTAAGTCCCACTGTTCACAAAAAGCTAGCACATACCACCACCTTAAACACTGGTCCAAAAACCAGGAAACTCGACCTGAATCCTTGGTGTTGGCACTGAGTGCTTGGTATGATTTTGAGCAGACAACTTTGGGTGACACAAGGGTTTTTCAGACATAGTGGGAACAGATGCAGCCCCTCACAGGACCTCCTCTCCTCTTACACTGATTAATGGGCAACATGAGCACACGTACAACTAAGTGCCTCCCCAGGGGACCACTGCAGAGCTAGGGTCCCCCTGAACTGAGGGTGAAATATTAATTCCAGTGCTTCTGGCCAGGATAGACATCTTGGTGGAATTATTTCTTTTTGGAAGATTAAAAAAAAAAAAGGCAAATCTCCTTTTTGAAAGCAAAACAACAACAGCATCGTGGAAATAGAGTCTGTCAAAACCACAGAACAATGACATTTTTAAAAGTAAGTTTGAAGCCTACTACAAAAAATAACTGGCAGCTGTCTCAATCAGCTTCACGGGCATCCAGAGCCATCCTGGTTGCAAACAAATGACACAACCAACCACTCTCCTCCAAACATACTGCCTAACCGTCACGGTTCCAAAACCACTTACTTGATGAGATCTATCGTGTCGGCAAATATGCTGTAAGCAGATTTTGGTGCTGATGCATCTGATTCCATGGCAATCCCATATTCAATAAAGGAAAGGGCAGCATCAAGGTACTGAAAGGCCTTTCCAGTCTTGTCGGTCTGTTGGGAGAAAGATCCCATTTTCGGACTACAGCAAATACTATTTCTCTCTACCTGGATTCATTTTCTCTCCCTAAATAGGCAGTATTTGAAGAAATTTAAAAAAAAAATCATGTCAAACCTCCAGGTGATAACGAAGGGGTTCTCCTCAGGATCCCTAACATAGTCCTAGTCATTAGCCCTGTGTGCTCTCGCTACCCAGGTCTCCACCTTATGCTCTGCCCCCAGTGGTTTTCTCTGCTAATTTATTTTCTTTGAATTCTTTAGATACTCTTGGCTGGCACTGGGGGCAGGCCTCGTTTGAGGCAAGTGGGGTTTTCCCACTCTATTACTTTCCCCACTTTATTTTCACAGGGAAACAGCAAGTGGCAAATGTACATTACCTGACTGAGCCATATCTAGCAAAAAAACCCAACATAGTTTAATCATGCACACTGTTAAACTGCACGCATCTGAGACAGCCAGCCACTTTCAAGTCTTGTTCACCAGCAACACAATTATCATCAGTGTCCTGATATTTCAGAGAGAACTGCTGTAAAACCAACTCTCTGGGCCATATTCCCAAGACAAGAGTGAGAGCTCTGCAAAGCAAGGAGGCCTGCTAACCTCCAAGCCCATTTCGATTCCTATTCTCCGGGCATAATCTCTAAGTGTGTTTACACACAGGGAAGTGCCTGAAAATTAGGCAAATGAAAGCAGCCTCTCCACACGTGACTAAGTCCATACTCCGTTAGGTGGAAGTGCCATGAGCCAGCACAGCCTGATCACGTGCCTGCAGCTATCAGATCCCCATGCAAGAGCCGCTGGATGTTTCTAGCACAGGGCCCAGGCTTACCATTGCATCAGCTTTGTGCTTCAGCCTCTTGGCCTCTTCTATGTGATATTCCATCGAATGCTGTCTGAATTGGGGGCAGACAGAGGAGAGCAGACACAAGAAAAAAAGGGTAGTGTAAGTATTGATTTCACCTTATCTCGAGGATGCTGTGACTCCAGTACAGGCTGGTACTGTTACTGAACGCACGTTAGAGTTCTGATAATCACTAAATCAATGTTATCTGCCTGCTCGTAAATACACAGCTGCTGAATGCACAAACAAAACGGTATGAAAAGAAGTTGATTCTTTTTTAAGACTATTTAAGGACACGATAGAAAAACAGTTAAAATTTAAAATTTACATTTGGACATTAAAAAAAAAATAGGAAGTTAGTCTTTTGTGAGTACAAGCTTACTTCTTCACTTCCATGTAAAAATAGTAGGCATGTGACTGCCTGTCATTTCTCCATCACAACACCCCCATATTTTGTCTGAAGCATACAGCACACCTTGCAACACGATGCACTCATCTCAGAGCACAAGAACTTGCGTTCCAAGTAGCTGCTTACAAGGGATGGGGTCACCAAGGCTGCTGCAGGTCCCAGTCTCCTGACTGATGATAAAGCAGGACCAGGCACTGACTCTGAGTACGGGAATAATCTGTTCACTGCGCAAGTGGCATGGAGCCACCTGAGCACTAACACAAGGAGCCAGAAAGGAATCACGTCTTCTCAGAGACATCAGTCTCCTGCACAGCACCTTGTCGCAGACAAGTCTGCCACCTGTCAGGAGCCAGGCAAACCAGTACCCATCCCTTGCAGGCAGGCACCAAAGACGGCCTTGCAGAGGGCGATTTGTCTCTGAGTTGAGAAGTACCTGTGTCTATACCAGCTCCCTCAAAACAAGAGCTGGTGAGAGGAGGGAGCTTGGCTGTGTGGTAGGTGGAGAAGTCCCAGAGGTGAGAAGGACGGGACAGATCCCGTACCTTTCTCTCTCTCACAAAAACAGGGCTCAATATGGAGCAGAAGCCCAGTGTCTTCAGAAAGAACAGATGAGGAGCACAAAACAAACACTTACTTTTCGAACTTGACTTGAGGTCTCCTTGGCTTGGAGGTACCATTTGGCAAAGAAGGCACTGGGAAAGGATTCGTGACATCCCCTGCAGATCCCTGAAAAACCACAGAGCAAGATAAAGCTGGTTAGAGACATCCATCTAAAACTGTTCCAAAGCATGGCTTTCCTAAATTTAAAGAGAAAAATGTTTATTTGTCTGAGACATAGTATACTTCTCCAGGCTCCCCCCTTTCTTCTTTCTTCCCAGTCCCCACTCCAATACTGGAAATGAAAACTTGGCTTCTCGCTAGACTGCTGGTGAGGGTTAATACCACTCAGATTTTCCCTGAGCATGCAGAAATTAGGTAGCAGGTTTCCTTGCACAACGGCTAAGGGAGCAGCAAGGACACTAGGAGCACATTTTTCACGGTCACTAGAAAAGGTAGGAACTAGTACTACCTATTCACACTTACTCCTAGTTTAACCACACAGCAGTTGCTGACTCTGCATTGCTATCTACAACATCAGGAAAAAGAAAGCAGTTAGAAGCCAGCTAATACAGCACAGTCAGTCTCCATTAATGTGCACACACATCGAAGTCCCAGACCACACACATCCAGGCACTTGTAAATGGCAATATAATTGAATTTTATAACCCAATAGTGCAAAGATTCAGCTGCAAGAATCATTAACAATGATTTTGTAAGCAAACTACGAAAGCTCGTAGTGAAAGTTACAGTTAAAACCACAGGGTGCTTATTTTCAAGAATGAACTTATTTTTTCCTTTTGTAAACACACTTGTTTTCACACCTATTGTATCACACTCGCAGTTGCCTACAGTCAGAACCAGTTCCTGGCATAAACACGATTCTCTTGCCTTTCACTTTTACATGGTGATGGCTTCTCATCGTGTTTCACAGGTAAGATTAAAATAAAATAGAAGATGGAAAGCAACCAGAGATACTACAGCACAGGCATTAGGGCTAGCAAGATAGGGTCACAGATAGCCACTGAAGAGGCAAATATGCTTGAAAGAGCTTTCTCTAGTGGCTGGCTTACCCTTCTTTTCATTTAATATCCTAATGGAAGGTTTCTAAAGAGAATCACACAGCACCCACGGGTCGCAGGATACGCCAGCAGTAACGGATACCTACTTTGTTGCCCTTCACCTGTTCAGAGTGCTTTCTCTCCACCTTCTTGTGCTTGGCAGACAAAGGATCCTTGTGGCTGCTTGAGTCCCTGGCAGTGTTGTTTTCTGTGGCAGGCAGCTGGCCGTTCTCACTCCTGGGTCTCTTCTGGGCCATCTTCACTGACTTTGGTGCAGAATGTGCGGGAGACATGGGTGGCAGTGGTGGGGGTAGCAGGAGATCTTTCTTCTGGGTCTCAAATGATGCTTTTGGTGCTCTAGAGATGGGAAATGAATTTTGCAATTGGCATGAATACAATGTCTATATAATATAGGGATTATTTTTTTTTTTAACAGAAAAAAAAAAACAATCAGAAAAGTTAAATACATTGTGTACCAATTCTGTTCAAATTTCTCTGGAAATGTGAACTGACTTGTTAACAAAGAATCCTGCAAAAGCAAAATGAAACCTCAGGGACTTCACAGTGCATTAGATCCCCACATGTTCAGCTGTCAACAACGCACAAGCAAGTTGCTTTTGAAGCAGGAATCAGCCCCAGGGCTTATCCTTGGAGGAAAGACTTGCAACCAGAATGTCAGAATGTTGCAAAAACGACACCCCTCCAACACAGCACCTTATCACTGAAAAAGGGGGAGAGGTAATTACAGCGAGTAAAATCCCTGGGACACATCACCCAACATGGCAAGTGAGGCACAGCGCTGCCTCTCTCTCCCCGTTACGGTAGAAGATATCTTTTACAGGCAGGGATACTCGCCCTGACACTTGATCCTGTGCGTGCTTCGACAGAATTAAACTGAGTTGTTCCTTCGGGACTTGCCAGCTAAACTAGACAACACATACGGGTTGGGAGGATATGAGGGACAGACCCTTAAAGTGCTGTGCTTTTAAATGGCAGAGCTGATCATACTTAATTCCGTGGCAAATTTCTGATCATCTGGGGTTAGGATTACCAGGGAACTCCAGCAGTTATAGGCAGCACGCAATAACACTAAACCTCGTTTTTCAACTACCCCTTTTTACTTTGTTTCCTTCAGCTCCTCAGTTTCCAAGAAAGCACAAAGTGTCTAGAACAGTGAATGCCAACTCTCCAGCTGCAAAGTCAGCACAGGAAGAAACAAGACAAAATGCAGTGAAAAGTGTGAAGTTGAGCAGCTTGCTCAGCTCTCCCTTCTTCACTGTGCCACCTGGTGCAGTGCAATCTTCCAGAGAGGGCCTTTTACAGGGAGCAGAGCAGCATCCCCATGAGGGATGGCTTCCCAACCTCCAGCCAAGTTAACCTGCATCCCTGACCTGACCCCGGAACTCTCTCCCCACAAAAAAGGATCCAATTCTTCCTGCTCTGAAGGCCACCACATGGCTAGAAGAGGTGCTTGTTTGCTCTGAGAAAATGGGAGGTACAAACCCTGGATTCAAAACCCTTCCAGCTGCTAGAAATCAGGACAAATGCCACCACATTCAATGGTTTTACAGCAGCATAATACAAGAATGGAAAACAGGCACTACAACATCACCTTGTGCTTGAGTAACAAGAACATGAACGCTCTGCATTATAAAAGGAGAGGAAGATCAATGACACCAAGTATAATTGCACATCTGCAACAAATAACGAGGCAAATAAATTACACTCTTACAGCCACATGGCTGGTGTCAGGACGTACAGACAAATTTGCAGCAGATAAAGTTTCAGAAAGCACATTATGTTAAACAAACTCATAAGAAGAATAAAAGGCACAGTTCCTTGCTTTAAGTTTTAAAAGAAAGGCTCATTTTTTGCTATCCCATTGCTGTATACTCACTTCTGTTTAGTGGAGTCTTTGTTAGTTGAAGACTGCAATGATTTTGTTTCTTTGTCTGATTTCATTTTCTTCCTATCAATCTCCTTCTCCATTTCCCTCTAACAAAAACAAAACAAAACAAAAATCACTCAGATTTAGGAAGTTCATGTACAGTACAGACCAACACAGCTACATTTGATGGCTTCATGTTAAAAAAAGAAAAGAGATTGGAACTGACAAAGTGGAAAAACAGAGCACAGTTGATTTCAGGCTCAATGACAAGTATCCTAACGTGACATTTTATCTACTTCAGCTGGTTAGAATAATTATTTTGTAGTGGAGGGGATGAACTGCCTAAACCTCTCCTTGCCAACAGTCTGAAACAAATGTACTTCTATAGCTGAAGCATTTTATGATCTGTTCTGGGCGTTGGTTTTCTTCTCCTAGTGTTTTGTGACAGGTTTTTTTTGTTTGTTTATTTGTTTGTTTTCTCTAAGGCATGGAAAAAAAAGCATTCATTGGAGACCTAGACTGCACAGGGACTGTAGTCAAGATGTTTTATGAGCAGGAATCAAGTATAGCATGAAATTTTGACGTGTCAATTAAATTTGCTGCCTATACACTGAACAGCAGGAACCACTGAGGCAGAGGGATAATAAATGACACTTTTTAAGCACACTCCACAAATCTTATGATACAAAGCATGCAATACCAAATTATTGTCTCACTTGAACAGAAAACCTTCAGAGTAATTCATTATAAGACAAGGAAATGCAAAACAAAAGGCAGCTCACTCTTCAGCCAGCATTACCCATGGAGTGCCTGGTGCTAGCCCAAAGCATCCCAGGACTTCGCATCTGCCTCCTGGGGCACATGCAGGTTAGCCTCAGTGCGATGGAGCTCCATGGGTAACGCATGGCACAAAGTCCACTTCAGAGCCTCCAGAGCATGGCTCCAGCAGGCGCATGGGTTAACTATTCCTGCTGCAGGACTCTGCAAAGGGATCCCTGGAAAGCCCCTTACTGGAGACGCGCCTCTTGTGAGCATCAGCATCTCTACCAGTGCCACAGCAGCTCCAGGAGAAATCAGAGGCTTTTTTGATGTATTCATCCAAGCACTGAGATGCACAGGAGGGGTTAGTGGTGGTTGTTATTATCAGTGGTTTAGTTCAAAGTCTGCATTTAGGGAAAAGCAAAAGGCATGGAGCTGCTGGCATCACCCCTGGAAATCATAGTTCACAGCCGCAGAATTTGTTCCCTCTCTGCGTAAGCCAGCCATCACAATTGTTTCCCAGAAACCCACAACTCTAGACAGGAAAAGGCCACGCTACTCGGACTGAGGCTGCAAGCAAGATATAACAGCAAGAATTCTTTGAAAACACCAAAGCATTTGTTAGACAGCTTGCAGGGCTTTTCATTTGCTCGGCAGTGGATTTTTGACCAATAAGAAACATCTGTGAATAGTTTTTGACACATTTTCCCTTCAAAAGTTTGGAAACACCGTGGAATGAGGAGGACAATGAGCCCAATCTGATCCTATGAAACAAAAAGAAACTCCAAGCACGGGATTTTCACACAGCTCCACACTCCCTACACATCACTGCAGTCCTTGCACAAACCCACCTTCACCTCCACCTCTCACCTTCCTCTTTTTGAAGGACTTGTCAGGAGTGTCCGTGGCTTTCCTCTCCACATCCTGCCCCCTTGCACCAGGGAACTCCTTTGCCTCCGCTCTCTTCTGGTGACCGCCCTTCCCGGGGAGCTGGGGAACTCTTGACAGCAGCGGGAGATCAATTTTAACCATGAGGCTGCGAGGGACCTGCACGTCCCTCACTGGCGACAGCAACTTCTTCTCCCTGACAGACAAGGGAAGCTTCTCCTTGTGGAAGTCCTCTCTGAGCACAGCAGCAGGCCTGTGGCCGCTAGTCCTGGTGGGGGTCGTGCCCTGGCCCTGAGGGACTGGGCTGAGAGCGAGGTGCTCCTGGGTACTGCCCAGCACAACGTCCCTCGGGGGCTTGGGGTCCAGCAGGGCTTTGGCGCTGGCCTGATGGGAGCTCTTGTGCTTTCTGCCCTCGGGGGGCTCTTGCAGACTGGTTTTCAGTTCTTTTCGGTCGCTGGATTTTGGCCTCCCTTTCGTTTTTACTTTTGGCTTGTCTCTGGAAGACTGGTCTCTAACCTCGTAAGGACCAGGTTCGCTCTCCACCTTCAGGCCCCCCTTGGGCCCCTCGTGCACTGGAGGCTTGCTGGGCCTTTTGATACCAACGGTCTGCCTCTGCGAGGGCTCCTCAGCACACGCGGGAGACTTCTGGCAGTTGCGTTTGGTCGGAAGGTGAGCATCCTGAGAAGCCCTGGCTGCTCGGGCAGAGCTCTTGTGATGAGGCTCCCTCGGCTCCGCGTGCTCATGGGAGGAGTCGCTGTCGATCTGCTGTCCTGGCTCCTTGTCCTCCTCATGTCCATCCGTATGGGCAGTTTCTCTGGGGCTCTCTGCTGGCACTGCTGGTGGGTTCACCTTGGTGAGCCAGTTGTCGAGCTGCCACTTGTTTGAAGTTGGTGGGTCGGGCTGTAGACAAACAGAGAAAGGAAGGATGCAAGACTGACGCCTGTATCTCAATCCTAAAACATTGTCAGAACCCTCTAAAATTTCCCCTTACTGTTAAAGATGAAAGACCATGACAAAGCAGGGATGCTCTGGTACATACACATCAACATTTAATTCACGAGCACAGGACCAACCACGTGGTACAGCTTTCCTGGATCCCTGCTAGCCCTACCTGTTGTGCAGTAAGAGATAGGCGTGAAAACCCCTGCTCGGTTTGCTCTGTGCCACTACCCAACATCCTTGCACAGTCAGGCAAGTACCCACTGTGAAAACAAAGCAGGTGCCATCCTCACAACTTTTACCAAGTTAGTTGCATGAGGTGGACCAAGAGCTGTCCCAGTTTCTTCCAAGCCCTCTGCCTACACAATCCAACACTTGCGTCCCCCTGGGTCAACCAAGGCATGAGCTACGACTGAGTACTGAGGGCCTCTGCAATCAGTCAGACACTTATCATAGTTAAAAGAAGCCCTGCCTAATCAAAACAGAAGTCCGATGTATCAGGAGAAAACTTAACCAGCTAGCAGTAAAAACAGACATCTGAAGCTGCAAATGAGGGGCACAATTCTCTAGGGCCCACTCTGAAAATACTGCTTAATTCTCAGCATCGCTCAAACGTGTCACTTGCGATCTGGGCACCGTCAGAGCACAGCTACGCTTGTGCCCTCACCAATCCTCCCCAGCCACAACTCTCTTCTGAGAACAGCCACAGCACTTCTCAGAAAAGAGAAGCCCTAGCACATGAAAGGCTTTCCAGGACTAATTAATCCCTTCTGCTGGCCTTTTCTTCTCCACCCAGACTCTACCCTCCTTTGCGCCGTACAACATGTTGACATGAAGACGTGTCCTCAGCTGTGTCTGGGTGACTCCATCTAGAAAGATGGTTTATAAAACAGACTTGGTTTTATCACATTTTAAACTTCTCAATCACAAATGATAGTAAGAGAAAATATTAAAAGATTAAATAACAATAAGCAAATACTGCACATGGGTCCTAAAGTCTTTGCTTTTATGTGAGGAGCTGGATATAAAAAACACAGAGCATGTGCAGCACTTGGCTCCTTGTGTAAAATATACAGTTTACTGAATAAAAAGGGGGAAAAATGGTCAATCCACAATAACTAGGACTTCACTAGAGAGAAAACAACACTGTAACACAGCATATTTTCAGTATAAAGCAGGCATGATTTGGTATAAGAAGGTAAGTACAATATCTGTTTCTCACATAGCACAAGGCAAAGTCTGTGAGTGAAGTGCTGCGGAGCGAAGCGTGTTAGCTGTGAGATCAGAAGACAGGTCTTTTCAAAGCTTCTGCAATGTCTCCTGTGCACAAAATTCTCCCTGTTAATGTGCTTCTAAGCTAAAAGAAAAGAAAACCAAGGCTAGGGAGGTCAAGAGGAATAAATGACAAGGTTTCTGGGCTTTGTGAGAATTATCTCAGAGCTGTCAGTGGACTGGTTTATATAAGCTGTGGTCCATCAGCTATAACCCTGCACTTCCCGCTGGCCCAAGAATGTTTTGTGAGCTGGAGGATCTGTTTTAAACCACAGGACACGAGTACATTTGCAGCAGATTTTTAAAAAGCTGCATGGTCTCAATTATTATGCAACTCTGAGGCACTAAGCTCTGTTTGCCTGCTTTTCCCAATAAAAGCCTCAGAAACGCCAGTGCAGCACTATGTGAGCCAAACTCAACAGCAGCAAGTCTAAGCACATTCCAGCCCTTCCTGCGGGCCCGATCACTTCAGCTGGGAGAAGCCAAGTCTGTCACTCACACGCAGGAGCTGCAGAGGGGCGCTGGCAGCTTCCCGGAGCATGTCAGGGTACTGGGCTCACCCCAAAGCAGCCGACAGCCTCAGCACCCTGAAGAGCTGCACGGGGAGAGGTGAGAACTGAGGACAAGCTGCAGTTCCCACCTGTGCCTTGTCTGTGCCTCATCAGTAAAGGCACCAGTTCCTCCCAGAGCGCTAGCCAACAATGCCAAAAGGCAGGGGGGAACACTCCAAGGTGAGGCACTTCAAAGTCTAATTTATGCTGTTACTAAGGGTTATTTCATTGACAAACTCCTGCAAAGAAGCAAAGGGCAAGCGAAGCTTGATGATGCAGCAAAGATGTCAACAGGCCACCTGAAGGATGAGGGCGTTTCAGGTGCCCTGTCTGACTGCGTTGAGCCAGCAGAGAGCCTGCATTAAGCAGCCCCTACAGTTCATGTGCATTCACCTCAGGAGCTGACACTCTCGGAGGGTCAGGGTCGTTGGCTTCACTGTCACTCGAGCTGCTCTCCGTCTCCGAGTCTGAAGAGCTGTCTGAGTCACTGGTGCTCCCTGACTCTGGGCTGCTGGAATGTGCTGATGCCACGCTCTCGGGCTGGGACTGCAGGGCACTGCAAGGCCACCAGGAGATAAAATTAGAAAGCAGCACGCGTCAAGGTTACTTACTACATTGATATGGAAGCATCCAGAAATAAAACTTAAACCCCCTGTTTTGGCACTGGAAAGAAAGGGGGCAAGGCCAAAAGAATACACTGCCATACTCTAAGATAAAGCACCGGAATAAAAAAAAAAAAAAAAAAAAAAAAAAAAACAACTCTGGAAATAATAAAACCTTCAATTCCAACCCAGCCATAACTATACAAGCAGGATGTCACTGCAAGAGTACAAAGCTGCATTTAGCCAACAGAAGGCTTTTAAAAAAAAGTGACAAATGCTATTCTGACAGTCCCAACACTCAGCAGAAAAGATGCCTAATACAGACTAACAAGACGGAAACCTACATGCCAGGATGGCTTCTGGTTTTATTTTCCCCCTTCACAAGAAGGGGGAAAGCAAGTTCTTACTTCTTCACCCATGTTACTTGCCTGAGGTGCTGCAGCTGTTTCATGAACAGCCCCAAACAGCAGCATTTTTTGCAAAACCCAGCCCTGCTCACAAGTGCTTTGCCCCAGCCCTGCTGACAATGGGAGTGGATGGAGCTGAGGCATAACTTTTTGTTCTGGAACAAACTGAAGAAGTCAAAACACTGACTTCTGACTCTGAAAACTCTTTCCCATGTCAGCACAAATACATTTGTATGATGTGGAGGCAAGCTCCTTGCTGATGCAGACCGATACTGCGAGAACATACTGTTTCAAGAGCCTGCAGAGACAGTCGGTCATGCCAAGAAATCAAAATGCCCTTGTGCAAGCCTGACTTTGCAGACTGTCACCAGTGCTTGAAGAGCACACACATCAAGCCAGAAAAGTACATCGGTGCTCTCTTGTTGGGGTTTCTCCACCTTTCTGCTTCTAATCCAGGTGCGTGGCTTTTCAGTCAACCTTGAATCCTGCTTCTAAGTTGCCCTATCAGGAGGGGCTGAAGCAGCCTCAGTAAATTTCTTCTACACCTACTTGGCTGTTTCTGGCTTCCTTCTGAACTACAGCTGCACTCATACCTTAGCCATCACTGTTGTAACTGAAAATCCCATCACCTCCAGTGTGCTCTCCAAATAATGTGATGGTGTGGAAAAGGAGAATGGAAGGGAAACAGATGGGGAAATACAATTCTGGTTCGAAGGCAAAATCTAGCGTGCCTGGACTGATTTCTAATTGAAGCTTTCTGTAAAACCTCACACAACTAAAGCCAATTTGGCTTCAGGCAGCTAGAAACCAAAGCTTGCATCTATGACAGAAATGAGGGACCCTTTCCCACCTACCCTCATATAAAATAACAATTCTTTTTTTCCTCCTTATCTGTCTACCTAGCAGTTTGGGAACAAACCTGTACCTTGGAGGAGCAAGTGAAGAAGGTGGCTTTTCAACAACCTGTTTTGTTCACAAAAACAAAGAGGAGAGGGGGAGGAAAGGTTAGCTTAAGGAGCTCAGAGCAACGCAACACGTCGCGATGATTTAACGGGATGTCTGTGGGCGTAGGGTATAAAACATCTAAAACTGACTTGGTCGTCACCACTGTCTTCACTATCACTGAGCTGCAGGTCGTCCTGGAGCATTCTGAAAGACAACCAGAAGATACACATCAGCTAGGGCAGACACGTTTTCAAGCAGCAGACACTGAAAAAAGACTTGGTTTGCACTTTTCCAAAACAAGTGGACCTCCCCAAGGCTTTTTAACATTCGGCATGCTCAAGCTGCTAAATCCTCTCGTTACCTGAACGAAGAACATGGAAACACACAGCCTGGGCCTTTCACTCTGCCTTCCACCTGACCTCAGGGTACTCTGCAACACAGGGGCAGTACCATCGGCTGCCATCTGCAGACAACTGCTGGAACAAGTCCAGCCCTGCTACAGCAAGAGATGGGCAAGCTTTTGGCTCCCCAAGGGGCAGAAAGCACCACAAGATGCGCACGTTCACATGTCCTGCTCTTTGTGGGCTGCAAATACTTCTCCTGACACACAGCTCCTCTTTTTGCTGCTCAGATTCCCGTCACACACATGTACCTAAGCAGAGGCCAAGGTCAAGCCAAGCTCCTATTCCTGCTCTGCACAGCGAGAGCCCTAACGCTGGGGATTAACACACCCGAAGCAGTTTCTGGGTGGTGAGGCACAAGGCCTGTTCCAGCATTGCTAGAGCAGTGGGCTGCCTGCGAGTGTTTCCAGATGCACCATTCAGTCCCAAGTCTGCAGGTGGTACCTGCTGCTTCCAATTTCACCGTCCTCTGTGAAATTGGGGTCCTCAAAAGGCTGGAGGAGAGGGATTTGTGGGCAGACACCCCAAGTTCTCCACAAACCACAAGCAATGAATCTCAAGTCCAAACAAAAATTTCAGAGCAATTGACCTGTCAGTCAACAGATAAAATCTATTTCAGCAGTCAGTAACCGAGGATTAGGGTCAGACAATAACTGAGGCATTCTCTCAGTACCTGTCAACCTTTCCAAGCACCAGATTAAAGCACCGTAATTCAAAGGAAAGGCTGTATCTTTCCTTCAAACAGAAAGCCACGTCACTTCTATTAGCCCTAATGGAAATTGCACATTCCGAACGAAGAGAGAACAGACTCCAGCAATTATTCTCAAGGTTTGTTTCTGTTGTTGCCTGTTTTATGTTTCCTTTTTGTACCAGGAACAAACCCTCTGCTTCCACCATTTGAGTGGGGAACCCAGCCCTGTACATAAAACCACGGGAAGCGCAGTCAGTGATTTCCTGCTACTTGAAAGCCTGTCTGCTCACACTGAAGGTCAACCACTTGCTTTCTAGGGCACCTCAACCCCAGCTGGAGCAAGCGAGATGTCGAAACCAGCAGGGAGCCCTCCGGGAAACTCCACACGCCCCTATGGCCACATACCAGCAATGACAGCGCATGGGTTCGGCAGGACGGCCCGAACATGCGAACACACCCGTGGCCTGCCTGCTAATTTTAGCAAGGAAGACAGGTCCTTGACACAGGTGCCTCCTCACGCTGGCTCTGGGTGACAAGAAGTGAGCTATGGGGAAGGAGATCATTGGTGAGGCTTCGCCATCTCAACACTGCGTACTTGAGGGTACATCTCTTCCAACAGCTTTGCTGCTTCTACGCCTGTCGTTTCCTAATAATATATATTTTACTGTGGATGCCTCCAAGAAAAAGAACATTAAAACACTACTGCTGAATGAAGTCCCTTGAAAAGACAATTTCAAATGCCTAAAACCAAACATCTTTATTTTGATTTACAAGCAAGTTGAGATTCTAACACTTGTGCGACTGCAAACCGAGCGTACTGCCCTCCAGAATTAACTTCTCTCCATGCAGTGCTCTACATCCTCACTAGAAAATCAGGACGCGTTGCCTGAAGCTGAATATCCACGAATGAGAAAACCCCAAACCTCCAGTCCCTTTGCAAAACAACACTCCAATACAGTGGCAGGCTCTCTTACTGAATTACACGCTGCATGTCTGAACTGCTGTCTTCCTACATTGCTGTCATCCATCTGCTTGCACTATCAGGCTGGAAAACTTCAGCCATCCAAATTAATCTCATACTAGGGATGTTGCCAGGTTTGATTTTTTTTTCCTTCCTTTTTCTTTTTTCCTGTATGGGGTTTGGGTGAGGGGCCGTTTCCCTTTCCCACGTGCTTGCTGTTTGTTACACTGTCAGGCTCTTGGTTTGGAAGACGAGGAAATGGCAACGTTTTCCTCCCTGTAAAAAGTCTTTTTATCTAATCCTTATCTGTTTATTTACATCTTTGAAGCTAGTCAAAATTTGCTATCCTAGGGTACATTCTCATTTTGGCAAGATGCGTACTTTGGTACAGTTTCCTTCCCAAGACACCGGGGTTGGCAGCTCTGGATGCTGACTGCTGACTCTGATGAGACAGCATCTCTTCTTCAGGCATTTTACTTTCAAGTCATAAATCCCTCAAAACTCAGGGCAGAATGCGAAGATGAGTTAAAGGTCAGGGTGTCCAAGTAATAAGAGACAAATTGAGTTCTCCTGCCTTCCCTCTCCACGAACTCTGACTACTCCCCCTGCAGCACCAGCAGTGTGTTTTGTTGCTGCTGACATTGTTTTTCCAGTTACGAGGCCTTTTGTTGAAACACGTTCACGGGGCTGCTAGCGCACAGCTCACAGAAAAAAAACTGCCTTCGGAAGGGTACGTTTCTACGTGACATGCATCTGAGTCAGAGTTTGCTAAAGACTGAGGTTGGGACCCACGCTCTTGTACCTGGAGCAGGACGGCACCCAGAAGGCCTAGAGGCCTCCCGTGCCCACAGCAGGGCGCACCCCTCCTGCACAGCCCTGCCTCCCGAGGCGTTACCAGCCCCAAAACCCCGCGTTACCTCGCACCAATGCAGAAAAAGCTCTTGGTGCCATAAGGGTTCTGCCTGCTGTCACCTATGTGCTTTCTTTGTTCAGGCATTTTGACTTCGCCATTCCCTTGTGGCTGTCCTCTTCCATCTCCCAGCCTCCACCACCTCATTTCCTCACACACCTTCCCTATGGACACCACCTGGAGCCTCTGCTTTTAGAGTAAACACTGGAGGGAAGCGCTATGAGACACTGCTGTGGCAAACAACCCCCCCTCCATCTCCTACTGAAGGCAAACGGCATGCCGCCCGCAGCAACGTGCACACACTGGCTTCAGCTGGAGCCAAAGCTGCTCTGCCCTGCAATTTAAACACACTTCCAGGGATGTGAAAATGTCCCCGAAGTTTTTCCGGGGTTTTGTTTTGTTTTACCTTAAGCACTCTGGCCTACAGAGGCATTTCCTTTAGAGGCTAAAGGATACGCTAGGCAGTGCTACGTAGATTGTCCTTTAAATCTGATTTAACTGTTTCTACCCAAAAGGACTGCCGTTTTCACCTGAGCTGCTGGTAAGTGAAACGCAGTGTGAGAACATTGCAACCACTTAACTTCAATTTAGGATCACGGAAAAACATTGCTCCCACTTAAATTCAATTTAGTATCAAGGAGGAACATGAAAACTTTATGAGTCACACTTCTGCATGGCTAGACAAAGCCAGTTTCCCCAAAACAAGTTTTCAACAAATTGCTAAATAGCCTACTTAAAGAAGATAAATCTGCCATAATCATCTTTAATTAGCTCAGCGCTTAAAAGATGCTGAGTTTTCATTTGCAGGACCCGCAGCTTATGCACACACCGTCAATATCCCTGTGAATCTATTTATAAAGAGCTCTTTTTGTGAGATGAGCAGCGCTAAAATCAGCGCAGCTTGCCCAGCAGCTCCGCTGAGGGCACGGGCGGGCCCCTCTCTGCAGGCCTTGCGGAGGATGCATCGCAGAGGCTGGCATCTCTCCCGTGAGCAGGAGGGTTGCTCCCATTCCGGCACGGCCAGGAACTGACCTGGGGGCTGCATCCAAGAAGGAAAGCCATCTGGGAACCTGTGCCTGCTCGGGGATGCTGGATGCTTAATTTGGGCACACAGATGCCCAGGGATTTCAACCTCTAATTAAGCAGCACAGCACAAATGCTGTTTGTGTTCAGCCAGCCACACTTGGTAACACGAGCTACTATCGGCAGCTGAGTTTTCCGAGGGTCACGTGGCTTCTGAAGAGCAAAGAAAGCCTTGTTTGGCAAAGGAGAACAAAAAGGAGACAAAAAGAAGGAATGCATCGCTTCAAGGGGAAAACGCAGGGCAAGTCCTTGGGCAAACCTCGGTTCAGTCCGTTTAGGATGTCAACCTAAGCCGCTCTGTTCCTCTGCCTTCAACTGCCTCTGTCCTATGGCCATGGTAAATGAGAGCTGGCTCCAAGATGCTAATAAAAATCACCACGAAGGGAAAGACATTCACTGATGGACATCAGCAAACCGAGGTTCCCTTTATCCCCAAGGAGGACCAGCCTGTGAAGACAACCAATTCCCAGGGACGGGGCTTGAGCTGCCTTGTGCCTTCCGCCCAGCTGGCCCCAGAGGGCTTGTGTTTGTCTTAGTTCAAATGAAATCCCTAAACGCAGAGGCTCAGTGAGATGTTAGCAGAAAGCAGCAGCAGGAAGATTCTGGCTGCCCTTTGGAGACCGGTCAGGTCAGGAAGGCTTGAATGAAAAGCCTGAACACAAACTCCTGCAACTCAGCTGAGGAGGAGAGCTCTTGCTTGTGCCCTTCCCAGGTTTTCTTTATTTTAATTGAATTATTCATTATAAGTTAAAAAAAAAAAGAAGTGTAAGCTTTGTAGTCTGCAGTTTACAGCCTTCCCTGGAAGGATACAGTGTGAAGCAAAACGAGCTCTTTATCACTGAGCTGACAGGCATTTAATGCCTGGGCGATTGACTCGCACACAGACCACTTAGCCTCCTGGATGTGGAAAGGTTTCTATTATTCAGAGCTCAGAACCCATCAATGCTGCCATCTGGCCAGGTTAATCCTGAAAGACTCAAAGTCAGCCCACTGCAAAACTACTTGCAAGAAATTCCTGTGATTAACCTAATTAATAGACAACCACTTGAACCTACCAGGACGCTGCCAAGTTTTTTTTATTGTCATTATGGATCTTTCCCACCAACTTACAACTTGATATTGAAGCAATACAAGTATTATCTGGCATTTCCTCCCTGCCTCTGTAAAACTGTTGCCAAGATTATGCACAAAGATCTGGGACTCCAGTTCTGAGAAGCCTTCTCAGAGAAACCATAAAATAATAGGGGAAAGAAGAGACAAAAAGCGACAAAAGAAGAAATATGTAAACAACATTAAAAAAAATCCAGGACCCCACTTTGCACCTTGCTAACTTGATTAGATAATGTAAGCTGAGGTTTTTAGAAACTTCACATGAAGGTAGTGTTTTTGGAGGGGTGGAGGGTTTAAATAAAATTAAAAAAAAAAAAGAACACACTTCTCAGGAACTTTCCCTTGGACAATTGAAAAAAAATACCCCATGATTTCTATACAATGTGCAAGTTTTCACAAATTTTGTAAGCATAGCTTTACTAACCTTCACAAATTCAAAATGGTATGCTAAATGGATCAGATTCAGTTTGTTTGTAATTTATGTCAGTTTAATGCATGATTAATGCACACACTGTGTGACAAGGTATTAAGTAGCCACAGATTAACAGAGCAAAACCCCCTCCACTTGGTATATTAAGTTGTGTGGTTTTGCTTTTTTTAACACAGTAACCATAAACATGAACCAGCAATATTGCTGTGGCTGTAAGTTCCCTCCATTGAAATTCTCAGAGAAAAACTGAACTAATAAACTTTAATCTTCAGAAACATCAAGTAAGGCATATTTTAATTCATTACAGATTCTTTTAAGTAACTGCATAGTAGAGCATGGGAACTGAGTCTGGTTACTTACGATGTTCTTGGTTGAGAACTAGGCAACGTTTTTGAAGGTGCGTCATACTGTTCTGCAAATCAAAAACAAATCAGTTCTTTTTACTTGCCTCACATGAACTGTATTTTACCCTATGGTCTCTGGGTGTCACAAATAGAAAGTCACTCTTCCAGGATGTAATCCTTTGCCAGTGAGATTATTCATCATCCTAAATGGGATTTCCTAACAAAACAGTGTTTGTTCTCTGCTGAACTGCTGCTTTACTTTCCAAGTAAGGAACGTACACAATCTCTGAGGCATTATCTAAATTCTTCAGTGTTCAACCAAGCCCAGGAAATTGTGCTCCTTAATCAATGTAAACATTTGATATTTCTCATCAATCTCGCACACACAACACACAAAGTTATCTGTAAGCTCATACAGACATTGCTGCGTGTTCTTTGGATTTCTACTTACTCTGATTCTGTGCTACAGATCCAACGTGCTGTGATTCCTGCAAAGAAAGGACAAAGTGAAAAGTTGAGAATAAAATACACTGGCCCTCTCTCAATAGCTGCACGTTAGTGATGTGTTTTCAATGTGTAACTTACTGTAATAAAAGTCAACCTAACCAAAGCTTGCCTTTGAATTGTCTAAAAGTTTAGGCTGCTCTGACGTAGTTTAGCACAAACATGATGTGCTACTGCCACCAAAAATGTCCTGCTGGCAAACGAGCAGTACGTGCCTTTTTGAAGGAATATAGAAAATTTTGACAGAGCTGCCAAGTATTTCTGTTTAATGCAGTCAACAAATATTTTTCTTGAAAGTTAAGATTAAAGATTTTTGTGCTGCAAGAGACAGGAGATGCTTAAAATGTTTCTGCAAAGTAGTCACATTTGGAGACCACAATTCGAACAAGCAGCTATGTCATCTAAACAGCATTCATTCATCCTTCTCTCTGGCTCAAACATCTTACAACTCTAAAAATAGAAAGCTTGCTAAAAAAAAAAAAAGGTAAAAGATAATCACACTACCACATAGCTCACTCAGAAATAATTACTCATAAGCACCATCTGATCTAATTCTCAGTAAAATTATGCATTTCACGCAGCAGTTATGTAATGTGAGATCCACTGTGCTTTCGTTTATCTGACTTCTTCAAAAGATAATCTCTCCTGACAGCCTTTATCTAAGAAAGGGGCAGGGTCAAAAATTAGATGAATGCACATGCAAGCTGGAAAGCTGTCTTTAATACATCAAAAAGTCTGGCAAAAAGAGGCTGTTTTACCTTTGCTGGAAATGGAAATTTTGAGGGCTCTGCCGTACTAGGTGTATGAATAGCTGTCAGAGGAGGTGGCCATGAGTGGGTCATTTCCTGGAAAGAGATAGAGAAAAGTGGATTAGGGTATTTTTGCTGATACTTGCAGTGAAGTTTTAAGCTTAAGACTCATATCTACCTAAAGTCCTTGTAGGCTGAACTGCAGACCTTAGAGACGGCACCGCAGTGAGAACCCATCCTTGGGATGCAGCATCTGCCCCACAGGGAGCACTTGCCCCCCTCTGCAAGCACACTCGCATTGCCCAAGCAGCAGCCATCTCAGCACAGCTCGCAGAGCTAAGCGCCTACTGCGTTTGCAGCATTTGGCCTCAGCATTACAGCTCAGGAAATAATAAAAGGAAAAGCAAACAAAACCTGCACAGGAGCAGCTGTGGGCTTTTTCAGAGTGCAGGCTCTGGGCTCGGTGACAGCGCATGTGCGAGCAGAGCAGGGCAGGGCACCATGGGACGGGGCTGGCTGGGTAGGACCAGCCTCAATGCCCGTGCTCGGCTGGCACTGCTGTCGACATGAACATCTCTACTGGGCTGTAATTTTGAGGCGCCTGTTTTCATCAAGGCACAAAAGCTCACAAGCGGCTCCAGTTTCCTTATCAATTAGGAGCAGCGTAAAACATGAAAATTTACAGGGATGTGATTCCATGTGGCTACCTTTGGCTCTAGAAGCAGGGATTGGATAAATCTAGGAGGATTTTGTGTAAGAACTGGAAACAGCCTTCAAGTAACCCATGTAACCATCTGGTCATGTAATTATCACCCTCGTCTTCTTGTTTCTCCCCTTCCACTGCTCAGCTCACTGCTCTCTACACTCTCTAGCTGCGCAATCTTAAAAAAGACAGCAAACCCCTCAATATACTGCTCTACATCTCTTCAGGCATGTGTGCACGCTTCCTTTTGGTTGTGTCAGTGTCTCAGAAACATTTAACAGCAGCCCCCTGGCCTGGCCAAGGAGCAGCTCTGGCTGGTTCAGGGGACGTGCCCATCTTCCTCTTGGACTGCATACTTCTCTGCAGCATACCCAAGGACGTGCTTCTGGTGTTTGCAACACCAGGTGATAAAAAAGAAGCAGAGCAGTATTTCCCCCCCTACATATTATTTTAATGCAAGCGAAATGTAAGGAAACACAAGGTTTAAGAGCACCTACCTTCAGGATTTCTTCAACGCACTGGACATCACTGGGGAAGGTTTGCTACAACAAAAAAAAGAGGAAGAAGTGTGAGTTCGTTTCAGTTTTACCAACTGACACTGGGCAGATAAACTCAGCAAACATTTGCTCACCCCTGGTTCTATAAGCTTCATGGAAACACATTAATTAAAAAAAGCTAGCAAGAAGTAAAAGGCAGATAATAACTTGCTTCTACAAAGCTTGCTGTTTTCAAGTATTTAGCAGAAGCTATATTCTAAGAAATTTGAAAAAGAAAGTCTTCAAACAGCATCTCCTGAAGAAATTATGTAAAGAGAAACAGAGCTTATTAAACAGTGCTGGGATTCTCCTCATTTTGGGACTTGCCTTCTTACTTCTACGCAGCCATGTGCACTCAGCCAAACAAGAAACTAAACCCCTAAGATTAGAGAAGGCAAAGTAGAGGTGGCTTATAAATAGAGGTTATTGTGCACCTAGAGCTTGAATCCCAGCTGTCGGACTCATGTCAGCATCAATCGCCATTAAGATATTGACATTTAACAAACAGTGCAATCGTGAGGCACAGGAAGGACAATCGTGACAGTGCAATCATGACAGTGCGATCGTGACACTCAGTGCCCGCACATGAAGTACTCTCAACTGTTTTCCATACGCTACACCACAGGGGAAACAGCAGGTGAGGAACCCTTGTGCCCTGCATCCTCATTTGCCTGTGTGCACACGAAGCCCTCATGGAACAGTACTCATCTGCCAAGGATTTGACTTCTCTTCAGAAAATCACGCAGGGCTGCTGCTGACCTTACTCACCCAAGATCAGTGGGAACTGAAATTAAGAGTATTTTGCTTTGCTCTATAGCATCATTCCTCCACCAATGAGGTTAAATGCCAGTCTCCTGTAACTTAACACATTCAGCTGCATAGAAAGTAGCTTGCCTTATGCAAAAGGAGGGGGAGAAGCTAAATAAAGTTTAAAAACCGATTAGAGCGTTTATAGCACCTTTGCAGAATCCTCTCCCCATACGTACCAGGGCAGCAGATAATCCGCTGCTTTGACTACGTGATGAGATTTAGGTGTGCCCATTACAAGTCAAACAAAGCAGCTGCTGAAGGGTTTAGCACCTCTGTGGTCCTGAGCTGAAAGGGACTTCAGGATGGCAGCCAGGGTAATTTCCTGCAGCCCCACAAAGGCCCCAGGAGTTCTGCAAGGACTCACTCTGATTTATTTCCAGGTCTCCCCAGCACGAGCCACTCCAAAAACTGTACTCTTTCATGAGCACAGAGCTCTGCTCGTGCCCTGAGGCCAGCAGGGCTCGGGCACATTCAAGGGAGCTGAACAGAGACTTGGGGGACACAAAGAGCCACACAAAACCAGACCTGAGGCTGCTTGAGCAACCAGCTGATGCACAGAGATGCTGTGCATGCCATGGCCCCTTTGGAGCTCTCTCTGATGCCCTGATTAGCCACACGCTAATGCTAAGAACCAAAACAGAGTCCACGTTTACAGCTACTTCCCATTTATGCCTATATTTTAACAGAAACATTTACCTTGCCATTTGTTTTTTCCATGTCAACCGCATGGACTTTCACTGTCTGAACATAGTGAAGACCACAAAATCACATCTGCAGAAAGGGTTTGCTTGAAAACAAGAAGTAGGACAAACCTGGAGCAAAACCTGCTGGAGTGTCCTCACCTCACCTGCATTGCACAACTGGCTCAGAGCAGGAGGAGACGGTGCACATGGGCAGACAGACTCCTCTACTCATGCTCAAGTCACACCAAGGGACAGCACATTAACTTCGTTTCAGCAGCAGCAGAACACTTCTGGGCAGCTAAAGTCCCCCCTTTCCACTCTATAGTTATTCACGAGCTGCACGCACACAGCTTCCAAGAGAAGCCATCCAACAACGGAGACGATGCATGTTTGTAAACAATCTTCTACCAACCTTGATTACGAATACAGAAACATTTTGCAGCAGTACTGACAAAAACTGCCAAAATTTGAGCTTGTATTACCTTGTTACTCAGAACAAACGCAAGCACGACTTTGTGCAGATTTCTCACGACTGTGAGGAACCTCAGACACTGAGCAGATTATCCTCCAAGGGTGCCTAAGTGCTCTATCTCACAGAACAGGCTGAAATGCATCTATCAGGCACAGACAGCAGTGAGGATCTCAAACCTGGCTTGCTCCATCCATGTTTTTTAGAGGATGTGGCGACACAGCTGCTTTCAGGGAAAGCTGAAGCAGTAACACCTATTAATCTGCTTGTAAAGCATGTAGCAGAACAGCTACGAAGACAGTGCGAACACACATGTGATGAGCATCTCTTAGTGTAGAGCAGGCACCGCTGTCAGCACGCGGTCGGCATGGGTGGCCATAGAACATGTTGTTAAAAGATGTTTCTGTTCTGCTGCAGACGGAGCACATTTGTTCAGCAGACCTCTTGCGTTCAGGCACTTAGTGATTCCCCGTAGCATCTGACGCACGGGAAGCCCTTTCTTCAGATGCCAAAAGACGACTTCTCTCAACTCACAGATTCACAGAATCATCTAGGTTGGAAGAGACTTCCAACATCCCCTAGTCCAACCTCTGACCTAACACTAACCAGTCCTCCACTAAGCCACATTACTGAGCTCTACATCTAAACGTCTTTCAAAGACTTCCAGGGATGATGACTCCACCACTTCCCTGGGCAGCCTGTTCCAATGCCTCACAAACCTCTTGGTAAAGAAGTTCTTCCTAACATCCAACCTAAGCCTCCCCTGGCACAACAGAGTATCTTCTGAATTTGACATCGTTTTCCTATCATGAGTAACTACTGGTTCGACAGTCTAGAAACAGGGGGCAAACGGAAATGAAAATGAGATTAAATAGACAACAATGCTAACAAGGTTATCATGCCTGCAAGCTTTTTTTTTTTTTTTTTTTTTACTTTGTGATTCCTCTCACACAGCCTCATCCAGCAATATTAAATATGGCCTGTACAGCAAACATTTTCTATGTCAACCTGGCAGACAACCATTGGCTCTTCTACTTTTTCTTTCTCTGGTGGCTTTCTCTTTTTGGTGACTCAGCTCCTTGAACCACCTTGCCACAGCACCAGGTGAATACCAGAAGGGGTACAAGCAAGGGGGAAGGACAGCTCATGCTAGCACTCAGCTCACACCTGTAAGTAACAAAATCTTCATTTTACACAATGTCAGTGCTAGGTAAAACCGTGGAATCCAGAGCTGGCTACACCTGAGGTCAAAATCTCCTCTGAAAGCACGGAATTCCCGGCTTCACCCTGCTCCTGCAGTGCGAAGCTCCTGGGAGCTCCGGTGGAAGAAGTGTTACAGGTCCTGGTGTTCTTCAAACCTGGAGTGCCTCTTTTGCTGCATCTCATACTGCATAACTTGAAAGTAACTATTTAAAAAAAAAAAAAAGATGAACTGGCTATGTCAGCTTTTTGGAAAGATATCCTCCCCTGCAATGTATGTTTTGCTACCTGCTCATTTCCTGTTCCCTAGAAAGCATGCAACTAGGTGCCACGACGCTGCATGTTCTTCTCTTGCATGTACTAACCCAGTCCAAAGTATTGTTTTTGCCTCAGTTCTCAAGCATGGATTGGATTTCTTTAACTGTTTGCAGCTTGGCAGATGGGAAACAAAAGCAAGCGATGCCTTAGAAGCGCAGGACACGCTTAGGAAACTCACCGCCCTCAGGAGCTCTCTGAGGCATAAAACCACACTGGTTTCCCCCCTGCACGTTTTATCAGCACCTGCCCCTCTGATACTCAACCAAAAAAAAAGGAAAAAAAAGAAAAAAAGAGACCCCTGCAAACCACAGGAGAACTGACTGCACGTGGGAACCTGTGGCACTGATGAAGAGCTAATAAAAGCAACAAAGCTGCACCAAAGAAAAGCGGTGCAGGAAGGTAGATTTTCCTCTGATTTCTTTCAAGTTCTCAGATCATAAGGTTTGGGTTGGTTGGTTGGTTTTCTTTTGTGTTGTTTTTGTTTGTTTTTCTCTAAGTATTGGAAATTTGAAAAGGAAAAATACGGAATCTGACCTAAAACTTGCTGAGCTGATTAAGTCTTTACGCTCTTTCCTATGAGCTCTGGTAAGTCAGTAACAAATCAGACTGTGCAGACAGACTTAGAAACAAGCAAGAGTTTAAGAATACAACCACCCCTTCCCTGACTTCAGGGTGGGAATATTTGTGTCAATTTAGGTTTTCCCTAATGCTATTTCTCTAGTAAGCTCATTTATTTCATTAACTTAGAGTCAAACAGGAGCTGGTATTATCTAACGTGAAATCTTTGTTGATGTGATTTGTTTAAAGCCTCGAATTTGACCCAGTTAAATATATCCCTAACGACTGGCTCCAAACATGACAGCCGCAGGTTTTAAACACCATTTTGTTATGGGCATATTGCCCTGGGTTTCATTACCACTGTAAAATAACATACAGACAGTACCTGCCAGCGGGGTCCCTGTAACAGCAGCTTGAATGCTCTAGGAAATTCGGGGAAGTGCTGTCAGAGGCAGGCACCGCCACAAGAAGGCAAGGCAGTTTTCTCTGCAGGTTGCCCAGGACCAGGATTAATTTTCACAGCGGGTGAAGAATTACCACAAGACTCATCGTTTTTGAGGACGGAAGGAAGCTCGCTCGAGTTCAGCAAAAATAGGACAACCACAACGAAAAAGGTACAAGAAGAAATGGAGAGGAAACTGAAACAGAAAACCAATTTTATAAGCAGCTGCTTCTTGACAAGGAAAAAGCCTCTGGCTCATATTTCTTTGTCTGAAGGAGCACAGCGCTTTGTGCAGGTACATTTTAATAAAGGACCTTCCAAAATCATGAGCTGCTGGAAGGAAGTCCTGCAGCCCTATTAGCCCTGTCCTAACAATACTACGGCTGAAACCCAAATAAACAAAACATCAAAAGTAAGCGCAGCAGCAGAGCCTGAGTACAGCCATACAGACCAGAACTCCAGCCAAGGCTGATGATTTCATTAGTTAATTAGTGTCCCCTTGACGTCTCCAGAAGGAAAACAAGGT